CACTCTTACCACCACTAATCTCTTCTCTTGATTTACAACATTTTTGTTTTTCGGACAGGTTTACTCTCTGTTTTGATTATGATTGGTTTATCTCAGAGGGGTTATTGTGCTTTCCAGTCCTTCCATTCAAATAATGGGAGCAGAGAATACAGGCGGTTTTAATTGAATTAATTTTTGTAACTGCGATTTGTTTGTTTTTGTTTTTTTTTTTATTCTTTTTTCTGTATGGGAGAATACTTTATTTTCGCCAGAAGAGAACAGAACTTATTTATTATTTTTGGCGTACGTGACTTGGCTGTTTTCAGTGATGTCTGTTACTTGATCTGCTCGCATTGATATCGGTTGGCTGGTTGGTCGGTTAGTTGCCGGGCAAATGAAGTTAGAGTTGCTCGTGCAATTCTGATTTCCGTTTGTTTTTGCCTGTTAATGCATAAAGTTGTAAATTTTATTCAGGAATTATGGGGAAAATCATTATGTTAAGCAAACCTTGAATGCTATTGCTGTACTAAACCGTGTTTGGCATTGAATTACGATTCTGGCAAATTATAGGTCAACATTCACAAGTAAGACATCCGTTAGCTAAAAATATTTGCAAAGGAGCAAAACGAACATCTACATGCATGCATACATATATTTATTTAACACTCGTTATATATACATATATATTTTTTTTTTCATAATATAATTTATAACTTAATGTGAATTAATTGATAAAAATTTCCGATCATAATTTAAGGTGTTACTAGGTGGTTTGCCTCTGCCATCAACAACAATAACAGCAAAAACACACAATTCCTAAATTTATTTATTTGCTTACTTAATTTTTGGAATATTTTTGCGATACAGTGCATTCTCTGTAACTGAAAAATATAGAATCCTTCATATTGGGGATATTTCCTTTTTCACACATACTTACTTACTTTGCTGGCTTGTTACAGAACGGTTGTTCCATAAGCCGTGCTTAAAAAAGATTTCCAAGGGCTTCGGTCTTGTGCGCAAGTCCACCAATTTGGAAGACCACGTTCCACGTTCCACGTTCACACATACATTTTGAAAAAAGTGTTTTAACCAAATTACAGTCTCTTCGGTTGAACATTTGTATTAACTTTCCCCAAAATGGGCCAAAAGTTTTTAAACCTATATATTATATAATGTTCTAAGCTCTATCCTAAATATTGCGATTTCTATCGTGATTTCAAACGACATGAGGTCTTGGCCAAGTCAACATAGAGTTGTATTAGCGTTATGACGTATATTAGCGGTTTATATACGGGGATACCGTCGTTATATATAAGCAATTTCGACATGTGTTATAATTGGATCTCCGACGGATGAATCGAGGTGTTGCAAATGGAATTATACACTTAATATACACCTTAAAGAAGTACATACTGATTATAGTGAACCTGTTTATATTTTTTTCTTTTGAATTCTCAGGTTCTTGGTGAGGTGTAAACTTCTCAAACAGAAACTTTCAATATAGGTCGCTGATTTCAAACAGAAAAAAAATATAGGTCCATCATTTTACATAGGCCCCATATGAAGGTCCGGTTAAGTTATTTTCCAACCAAGTGGATTTGGATTCTCTGCTTCTTTGTGAGGTGTAAACCTTCTCAATATAGGTCGCTCATTGTAAACAGAAACTCTCAATATAGGTCGCTCATTTCTGTATTTTAATACCCTAGGTGAATTTATCAGTCAAAGTAGCTGTAATTTGGTATTCTGGTTTCTTGGACGAAAGTATTTCAATATAGTTCCATGTTTTCTTAAAATTTTCTTGAAAATAAAACTCAGTTTCGGCGATCACCTCTACATTCAACAAAAAATTTCACTCATTGATTATTCCTTTGGAACATTTTGCAATTAACCAAAATCGACTGTGGTCACAAAAAACAACATAACAACATGTCACGTGTATGGAATATAAATTAAATTCGCCTGTACTAAAAACAACAATACTAAAATATGTATATACAAATGTGATAGCTAATATATCTTCCAGTTGTTTGTTTACCCACGGTTCGTTCATACGTCACGAACGATGACTTTCAACTCTTCTATGATTAATCCAAACATTTGTTGTTTGATTTCTGGTGATTCACTAATACCTAAAAAATAAAGGACTGATTTTAATTTAAATAATCATTTAAGCCATGTATTTCCCGCCAAAATTGTGGTTGCGAAATAGGTTATTCCCGTTTTTTTCTGCACGAAAGAGATTGTTATTTTGGGATTTTTATAAATGGTAATTCCATCCTGGTTCCATTGAATGGTGAAAAAATGTACTTCCCCCAAACAAAGAGTTGGATGACGTAGATAGTTCGGATTTAATATTGCATTTTTTGTGGCTATGTGATCATTGGGTATATACGATATACTATTTGACCTTTTCACTTATTTCATATATCCGCCATCTTTTTTCCCATCGTAATTATTTTGTTGCTTTCGTGCAAGTAATTGATCTTCGGATTCTCACCTGCCCAAATTCACGTACATACATATTTCCTAAGAAATTACGCATCTCAATCACCCTCTTAATTTATTAGAAACAGCAGAAACACCACAGACAAATTTGGAGGCGGCAACAAATAAACATGACAAGCTAATTCGCAAGCAAGTTCTTCGACCTTAATAAATATGTGGGAACGTTTTTTGATTTCGGCTATTAAGTGTGTCATTCGTTGATTCAAAGAAACTGTTAAACGAAATTGAAAGTCAACAAACGTTGTGCGGATTTTTTTTTTTTAACAATTATATGATGGAAGGCTCTAGACCATAATTGGGGAGGGGGGAAAGGTTCTAAATATTTCACAATAATTTGAAAAAATAATTTCATAATAACATGCAAACGGACTATTCAATTTTAACGAAACTTTGCACAACCTATTACATTTACGAAGTCTAGATTAAGTCCGAAGATGGGACCCCCCATTGGTCCAATCCTTCTGGTACCTCCCCCACAAATGTTCAAAATTTTCAATATTAGTAAATTCAATATCAGGCGAATGGAATGTCAGATTTGAACCAAACCTTGCACAACCTATTATCTTTGCCAACACTAGATCAAGTCCGAAGATGGGAACAATTGGTCCTCTCCTTCTGCTACCTCTACCATAAATGGTCAAAATTTTAAATATTTGTAAATCCATCAGGCGAATGGAATGTCCGATATGAACCAAACTTTGCACAACCCATTATCTTTACGAAGTCTAGATTAAGTCCCAAGATGAGACCCATTGGTCCACTCCTTGTAGTTCCTCCCCCACGAATGGTCAACATTTTCAATATTTATAAATGCAATATCAGGCGAATTGAATGTCATATTTCAACCAAATCTTGCACAACCTATTATTTTTACCAACCCTATATCAATTCCGAAGATTGGATCCAGTAGTTTATAAAATTTTATCAACATTAAATCCGAAACCTCTTTGATAAAAACATATTTCTTATATAAAGCTAATATAATAAAATTCCGAAGACCTCCGCAAACTAGACTAAGGGTATATATCTGTCGGCAACACCGACTGACATTTTTTTACTTGTTTTTGTATTTACTTTGTCCTAGGCCACTTTTTTTAATGGCGATTTCTTTGACGTTTAATTGTTAGACGGTCCCTCCAAAATAAAACTCCCGCCACCATTTTAAGAATTTTGAATGACGTTAATATTATATTTTAAAAGTATTAACACTGTGATACATTATTCAACTTGAAAATCTTCGGGACTGCCAAAATCTGAAAGTTTATAATGGTAGAAAAATTCCTAGGTGGGTTTTGAATTTTTAGCTAATAGCACGTTTACATTGTACCGGAGTTATTAAGTTCAGAAGATTTAAATTGTCAATGTCATTACATAAAAGTCAAATAAATCCTCATAAAAGTGGTTAAGCCGGCAAAAAGTTTTAATGTAAATGCCATTTAAGATTTTTGTTTAAACCCGTTTTTAATTTTGTCGACTGTTTTATAATTTTTAGTTTAGTTAGGGTTTAGAATTTGCTATTAATTTGACCAACAATATATTATATTAAGAAGAGATGTTTATTTTCCCTTTTCTAAACCCAGTCGACAAAATAAAAACAAAGATCTAATAATTCAAAACACAGCTAGGGGTTTTCTTCTACCATCATAAGCTTTCAGATGTTGGCGGTTCCGATTGGTTCAAGACTTTAGTGCTGCACAGTGTAATTATTATCAAAAAAAAAAAAAAAAAATATCTGCCGTGTGTAAGTGAAATGAAAACAATTATTACAACAGACAATAATATCTGTCCGTCTATATCAATAAAGTACGCTACTGAGGGTACATTTATTTGGTTCATCCTAAGTGCTATACAGTCTTCAATACCATACATACACAACTTTTTTCTACTGTAGCAAACATAAATGATAATAAGAAAACCTACTTTGCAGAAACTAATAAACCCACAAAATATGAAACAATATTGATGTGGCGTGGTGTAGGGTTCAATTGTGTAAATAACACAAGTACTTGAGTTTAAAATAAACATTACTATTTATTACATTACTAGTATGCACTTTGTTATCAGAAATTAAAAGCGAAGATGAAAAACAGTGCATTTTATTAAACGGAGGTGTTATGGAAACAACTGCCAAATGTCGTGTTTTTTGTAGTTATAGCGACCTCAACCGCAATGTTTTGTGCGTACATATTTTTTTAGCTTGTCATAGCCATAACACAAACAAACACGACTCCTGACACGACACAATGACTAATCATTTTTCATTAATCATAATTTGTCAATTAATTTGTATAAAAATATAAGTAGGAAACAATTATGGAATTATTCGATTAAAAATGAGAACAGTTTCAAGTATTCGTTGATGGATGTGGTGATAAGCTGTTTGGCATTTACGGCATCTCGAGAGTGTGATAATATTAATTAATTTGTCTCTATATTTATCACTATCACCACTATCAATATCAGAAAAGCTTTTTTAACCATATTGTTGTTTCTTTTCTTTTTGTTTGTTTTTTCAGGTCTATGAGGCTCTCTTTAAACCCCTACATGTATCTAGACATCAATTTAAGAAAGTTTTAAACTGTATGAAAGTCATAAGAGCTTTAAAATACCAAGAAGTGTATGCACAGGAAAAAGTCACAAAAGTTGACAGTCTGTCGCTAGTTCTGTCGGGAAAGTAAGTACAGCACATGCCTTCATACATATCGTTAGCTAAAATGCAAAAAGGCGTAACTAACAAAATCATAATTGGGTAGGAGAAGCAAAAAACTGTTTTGAATGAAAACTATAAACATGTCATATGAAATGAAAAAGTATGCCCGGCAGGGTGATATTGCATATGACGAATAATAGACTATAATTTTTTAACAAATTTAGTTATTTAGTTTAATGGCAGTCATAACAATTAAGTAAAAACGTGAATTTTTGGTTAGTTACGCCTTTTTGCATTTATCAAATAAACCCACTTGTAGTTACGTCTTTTTGTTTTTTGTTAATAGAAGCTCCTTTTTTGACCGCAGACGTGTAAAACTTTGTCAACACATGTAGTTTATTGACATTCACAATATTCATTCAAAAAGTCAATTTTCAATTTTTTGTTAGTTACGCCTTTTTGCATTTTAGCCGAGGATATGTATGTATGTAATAAATCCATATATTTTATTAACTAAATTTTATTTCATTGTAGATTGGTAGTGTCGCAGAATCAAAGAGCACTACATATTGTGTTTCCGCACCAGTTCCTAGATTCTCCAGAATGGTTTGGTGTATCAACAGATGATTACTTTCAGGTAACCTATAATATCCGGGTTAATAAACTACATACATATTTCAATGTTGTTTACACATTTTTTTTTTTTTTTGCCTTTTAATAGGTCTCTATAATGGCCATGGAAGAATCAAGAGTGTTAATATGGCATCGAGATAAATTAAAATTATCCATAATGTCGGAACCATTTTTGCAAACTGTTTTTGATCATATACTGGGACGAGATGTGGTCAAGAAACTAATGCAAGTAACACAGGTAAGTTAGAAACATAAAAAGAGCTTCGTTGGCGGCACTGCTTTGTAATGAGACATTCAGTGTTGTTAAATTGGAAAGCAATTGAATTGACAATAGTACTTTTTCAAAACGGTATAAAGCATAATCGTTTTGAAAAACTATGTCACTAGTGTGATTCTTTATCAGATCAAAGTAGTACGATCTGATAAAGAGAGCTTGGTGTGAGTGACTGACTAACAGATCATCTCCCAGACAAAACGGCTGAAGCTAGAATCTTGAAATCCTTGAGTGAGGTTGAGGTGTAGGCGTGAGATAAGGCTGGGTTTTTGGAAATTCGAACTAGAAGGGTACGAAAAGTACTAAAATGTACCAAATGTGGTACCCTTTGTATTAGGCGAACGGGAAGAGTTAGAATTCTGAAATTTGGATGGTAAGCTGGAAAGATGTAAATAGTTTTTTTTTATTTTGGAAATTCGAACTATAAGTGTACTAAACTGTACTTAATTTAGTTCTAATCGTATATATATATATTTATGTATATTGAACATATCGACGCCTCCGAACCATAGTATGCTAAGTCGACTTAGCATGTTTTAAAGTTCTTTACGTTTTTAGATACTACGGTCCTTAATTTAAATTCACTGAAATTTTGGTAATAATCGGCCAATCCAAACCAAAGTTATAAGCAAAAATGTACCTAGCATGGCACGTACGATTAAAGAAACTTTCATACTTTGAAAGCTTCTACTGAAAAACTCACTTTTCAGACTTAGCATACTATGGTTCGGAGGTGTCATTATATAGCTAATATGTTGAATTTTTATAGGAATACAGGTTGGGAAGTGGTGTTGTATATGGAAATGGATTTATAAATTCGTACTTATTTATATAAAAATACAAAATGGTACTAAATTTGGTAATATTTGCATTTAGTTTAGCGTATAGAGATGGAATTCTGAAAATAGGAATTTGGACTAATATTGGAGTACGGGATTGAGATAGCTTTAAACAATCGTACTTATGTGTATGAAAAGTACTAAATGTTAGAGTTCAAATTTGGAATTAAAATGACTCTTGGAGTGCAGGATTGAGTAATTTGGGAATTTCATACTTATGGAAATTCGTATTTATGTGTACGAAAAGTACTAACAGCACTAGAGTTGGTACAATTTGGTTTTGGGTGAAAGGAGAGAGCTGCAAACCTAAAATTTGGATGAAATAAATGAAATGAAATATCTCTGCTTGAAATACCTACTATGTTTGCTTCTTCTGAGTATTTTTCTATATACATAGAGTTAACCAAGTTTCGCTTAACATAAATTTAAAGACGCTCTTACTCGATGAGAATTGCTTTATTTTTACAACATCTATATAATAATTTAAATTTTATGTTCAATTCCTCCTCGTTTTTTAGGTTAGCGAGTCAATTGCCAGTAATGGATTTCTGCCATCAGGTAGTTATGATGATGCGGAAGATAAACCCATGCTGATATTAAAAAAGAGCGCCGAAGGACACAGTTTAACAGCTTTAATAAATCGACAGTTACAAGGTAAATAAGAAATAGAAAATCAATATATTTACATATATATATATTTTTTTCGAAACGATTCGAGTAGTTTAGTCTGATAACACTTGTATAGAGAAAGCATTTCATACATTCTCTCATCTATTATTTTTGTTGTAATTTTGTTCTTAAATACAAAAAAAAAAAACAAATCATTGGCTTTTATTAGTGCTTGTTGTCGCAGTGTGTTTTTTACAAAAATGTCAAAATAGTATCCTTTGTTTTTTTAGAAAGAAATTACATTTTATTTCGGAATTATTTCAGTTTTCTGTTTTGTATGTTCGCATGTCAATAATTATATTTTGTTTATATGAAATAATAGTTACAAGTATATATAATTTGTGTGATTTTGTGTTTCGTTTTTGTTCACCTTTTTTTGATTGTACAATTATTTCTTTTTGTGTTTAAATTCTATTTTAGAGGAGCATGTGCCTCTTTTGGGCCGTACATACACTACCAAACCCCCCTTTCAGTTGTTAAAGCCAATTACAGACCTAATGAGCGACAACGACGACCATTCCTGCTCAGCTGAGAATCCCTCTTCTCCACCAGATATACCAAATTTAATAATTAGCAAATAAACGCTATTCTATACCTATAGCATATATAGTATATTTAACAATTATTTCTAAACATCTATATATAACAATTTATATACGTATATAAATTATATTTAGTTTTGTAACATTATATGGATATAAGGATGAAGATGGCAAAAAAGAAACCCAACCAAATAAGAATGTATAACATAATAAAGACAATGATGTCTCTAATAGCAATAGCAAAACGTAGTAGCCTAGCATCCCATTCTACATTTTCCCCATTTAACCTACAAAACATATACATATGTATGTATTTAGGAAGACAAACAATATATTAACGAAATGCCATTTAGATTGGTTTTTCAAATAGGATAGCGGCATTATCTTGCCAACGTAAGCAAACAGCTCATAGATTTAAGTCTCCATATAGAGAAATGGCTAAGGTCATGATTAGGTCCCAAACTATTACCAATTATCGAACGGGGAAAATATAATAGTTATGTCGAGAATAATGTTTAACCATTGTGTCAGTACGTAATCTGTCTACTCTTTTACTAACAAATTATAAGTAGAAGTACATTTTGTAGGAAGTAAAAATGTGACAGTCAGTGTGAGTGCGCATGATATTACAAAATTAATTTTCAGTAAAATGTTGAGCATTTTGTGTGGGAGGTACTAGACGGGGAGGTACCAGGTACCAGATATTTATGAAAGAAATCAATCTGAAATCCTAGTGACTTCAACTAATGTAAAATGTTTATTTCAGATTGTTTTTGTTGTTTATTGATACAACTTTTCTCACAGAGGTTTTAACAATTGTATCCATATGGCTCAGTTTTTTCCCTTTTCACAATCCCCGTTTAAAAGAGAAATTGTATATGAGAACGAATATAGAAAAAACATGTAATCTATTGGTGCCATTATTTAATTTTTACTAATAACAACATATTTCCCACCAGCCAATAATTTGTTTAATAACCTATTCTATTTCTTGTTACTGTTCAGTAAACAACACCTCGTTTAGTGGCGAACTTGAAATGAAATGCAGTCGTAAGACATTAGTTATTTAAAAGTAAGCTCGAAACGGGTTGTTTTTGTATAAAATTGAGTTTCTTAAAAAACGCATTAGTTGATTCAAAACAACAACAACAATGAATAAAATATTTTCTCTCAAACTCCTTAATGAATTTTACAGATCAATGTATGTCAATATTTTTATTGGCTACTTTCCACCGTTTAAATAAATAGTTAATAATAAACAAAAACTAACAACAATTAGTCTATAGAATGTTTACATAACAGCAAGTAGTGCATTTCAATATTATTATTAAATAATATTATGAATTTCTATGTATATTTATATAATTCTCTATTTATCGTATATAGTAAAATCTGTATAGTAAAAAATAAATTTGCAAAATAACAAAAATTAATAATAATATATTTTATTCACTTAATCCATGCATTCAGGTCAATTTTGAAAACATAATATATATGGGGCTTGTTCTGTGGCATTCACGAACACACGTCGAGATGTTGTCACACACTATACACCGTTTTGAAGTGAATTCATACATTTTGATAGTGAGAGTCGAGTGTATTCATGTTTTCCTATGCAAAAGAATATTATTTATAAAATAAAAAAAATGCACATGATGATAGATTCATATGTTATTATTGCGAATAATGAAACGCCATTAAAAACCAATTTTAAGGTTTTTGTTGCATTTACCCGAATGAATCTCTCGCTTAACACGAACAGTAGATTTGAAATAAGATTTGAATAAGAAGTTACCGAAATATTTGAAGTGATCCCTCAATCAGCCCGATCATGATTATCCGCAAGGATAATCCACTATCCACTAGGAAAATCAGGTCCTCAGCTCATAAATATACCATTAACTCTTATAGCAGCTTATGTATTGTCAAAAAGAACACAAAAGCTGTGAATTTCCTGTTTATCCTAGGTTATTCCTTACCTTGGATATAACGAATTTCTTCTATAACGAAATAATTTATCTGGTCCCTGCAAGTTCGCTATAACCGTACTTTACTGTACCTTATATATGGACAAAAGCATGTTCAATTTTTAAATTATCTCAGGAATTATTTCAATTTGTTCTATCAACGGTCATAGCTAAATGTGGGGTCATATAAAGTATATACTTCATAAGATTTCGAAAAAAGCAAATGATTTTAATTCAATTAATTTATTCCAATACCGATGATCACAAATGCTATTTGTAATGTGAATTACTTTTCTAGAATTCTTTAAATCTTCAAAAAGTGTAATTTGCCTAAAAAACATTTTGATTTATCGTGTACTTCGTTTCATATTAACGGGCGGATCTACATAATACGCAATACGAGATTCTAAATAAATCCCAAAAAAGTATGGGTCTGCACAACTATGTATATGAAACCTTGCAACAAATTCATTACTGTATATATAAATTATCTGTTAATATTGGAAATATCTATCTCAAATGTTGTGTATATTAACATATAAAATATATAAATATGAATTGAATCTAAGTAATCTTGTATAATACAATATAAAATTGTCCTTACGTATAAGCCAATGAAAGGAAAAAACACAATATATCTATCAAAAGAAAACGATTTAAATTATTTGTCATTAACACTAAATCCATGCCATATACATTTCAACATTTATATACCACACACGCACACACCAGTCCAGAGTTCAACGACAAAACAAAATTCACAAGTTAAAATTATAATTTGTTCAAAACAAAAAAAAAGAAAAATTTTCTTTGGAAATTTGTAATTTTTGTTTATTTCCGTTTTATATAACCACATATGAAATAGCCCTCCCACGGATATCAAGGTACTATGAAAGTGGTAAGTATGAATGTCGTTTTTATTAAATTGAAACAAAATTATTTTTTTTCACATTTTTTTGTTTGTTTAACAATCCATGTAAAATACATAAATATATGTGATATGTGTGTATGTATGTGAACATTATTTTATGTAAATAAATTAGATTTATATTTTGTATAATTATTTCAGTTACAATTTATGCTTTTTATTTTATTTTTTAAAGCATGGATGTTGTTGTTGTCCTTTTAAAAAAAGTTAACCAATTTTTATTTTTTATTTCTAACAATTAAAATGATTCCCTTAAACATATATGTATGTGTTTGGTTTTTTGTCTTCTTCACATTTACAGTAGGGGATCCAAACTCATGGCGTTTGGGACGCATAGACGAGACTGATACTGAAACGGCCGTATGAGTACGCAAGAAAACACTACTGATATTAAACAATAGTGCTCGTCGACCCCGTAAGTTTAGACTTTGAGATTATTTTGAGTATTATTAGCGTTTAAGGACTTAACTTTTTATTATTCAACGAATAATGTTGTACTACTTTAATAAGCACATGCACACACATACGTAAAAAACGAATATGCGACATAGTTCTAAGCGATCCAAAACAACAACAACAACAAGAACCTTAAATATGATGTCAATAAAAAATATTAAATATCATCGATTTAAAACCCGATATTTCTCAAAAAGTTTAGAAAGTTTGAAACTGCAATAGCTTGTTATGAATCCATTACCACCAACAGTGTGTTAACCCCAAACATCATTTTACAGCAGTGTAAGATTCTGTAAAATTCTTCATTTTCCAAGACGAGTTTTTTAAATTGTAAACTTTAATGTGTAACTGCACGGGCTTAATATATGGGGTATAATTAACATTATTGAACATTTAATGTTTACATCGAAAATGGATTACCATTAGAAGACAATACATTTCAATTATTTAATTTTGCATCAGTCTCTTCTATGAGGCTAACAACTCAACAAAAAAGGTACGGAAAACCAGATCAAAATGAAAACGACGCTTATTAAAGTAGTACATTGATATTTAGTGAAATTTGTTATATATTACAAAAAAAAATAAAAATATTTTTTTCATATTTACAAATCTAGTGTAGTATATACGTATGTGTGTGAATGTGGATAACAAAAAAAATATCAAAACCATATATATATATATATATATGTATATATATATATATATGTATATATATATATATATACAATAGCGAAGAAATCTTAGATAAATCGAATATTGTTGAAATTTAACAATTGTAAGTAAGAATAAGAAGCATGAACTAAATGAAAAACAACAAAACAAATCAAATAATTTGTTTAGAGAGATACCAAACAATTTTCTTTTCATTTTTTCGAAAACAAACGAAAGATACAAAGTGAAATACCAAGGGTTTATGTAAAGTTCAAGTCATATATTTGGTTTTTATTTTTGTCGCGTAATATACAATAACAATAATATATATCTATATTGATTATTATTATTACTGGTCCCACACAAAACAAACATGAATTGCTGGGCGACCAAAGGTGTGTACCTTTTTGTTATATTTTTTTAATGTATTTATGTACGTATGTAAGTAATAAGAATAATAATAACAATAAAAAATGAGAAATCTAAATTTAACAATTTATGAGAATAAAATCATTTAAAATATTTCAAATAAAGTACGTTCTTTATTTCAATAATACGTTTGTATATAATGGTAAGTAGTAGTTACAAAGGAGGGTTCCATATAGTAAACCTTTTTCGTTTTCAGGTAGTGTGCACATTTCAAGTGCAAAGTCCAACCGATATCATTCATTTAGAGTATGCCATGAGGAAACCAATAACATTGGTTCAGCAACGCCCAAATGACCAATATTAAAATGCCATTATTACCAGATGTTTCAATTTTTGTCATCTAAAATAAAAAAAGGATATACGATTGTTGTTATTGTGAAAGATACCTAAATTATTTTTTTATAATTCATAAAAATATCAACACAAAACTTTGAGTGTCGCAGTTAGAACAGTAAAAATCGTTCGTTGTGCTAAAATTGCGATACCCAGCGTTATGAATTTGCCCCGGCATTTGGAATACTACTTTTTAAGTATTAGTGTACCTATCTATACTTGATACAGTGCAGATCACGATGGAACAATGTTCTCAAACACTGGTTTATATAACATTTTGTCCCGACTTAGTCATTTATTACTTACGAAATATGAAACTCAGGACTGGAACATATTTTAATACGCTTTGTTGCTCGACTAAGGTATTGATAATCTTCTATAAGAATGTCATGACTCGTTCTTCTCTTTTCGCCTGTTGTAATTTTATCCAATACGTTGTTGGTGGTGCTCATGTCGATATCCATTTTCGTATAACTATTACTCTCAACCAGCATCATCTGTTCATCTTCCTCATCCATTGCATTATTGCCAATTGGGCGATGTCTATGGGAATGATGTCTCTGCGGCCTTTGGGAAAGTGGCATAGCAAAGGCATTGTATACACGCAGTAGTTCGGCGTGCGGCATAATATACATACCATCCAATTGTATGCGACGCTTTTGTGTGTTAAAGGGAAAAAGTTTGTTATTGCTTCTAATTTATTAATCCTATAATGTAATCTTACTTTTTCCAGAATCTTAAGTATTTCTTCTCTGCTTAAGTGTTCAGCAACACACTCTTCCATATTGCTATTCATTAGATAATTAATATAAACAAATGTCCTACTGTTTATTGTTTTTCTTTGACGACAAAGTGTTAGAGCTGTAAAAAAATCGATAACAATATCGATTCTCCTTTTTAAAATTGAATATCGATTGATATTCAATATCGACATTATCGGATCCAATAATAAGGCTACGTTTAGACTACTAAATCCACTTGATCTCAAATGTCAATTCCATTGCGTATACGTCGTGTTAAACCTGTTCACAAATCCAGGGGAATATATTTGACGTATAAGCAATGTAATTGACATTTGAGATCTAGTGGATTTTGTAAATCTAAACGTACCATAAGGTCGTCCGATAAGGCCAGATGATTTCACCCGAGCTGTCAAAATGGTTTCAATTTTGACTTAATTGTGTGAAAACGTAAACAAAATATTTGACAGCTTGGGGGATTTAATCCAAAATTGTGGATATCGATTGCTTCTGATACATCCTGTTTATTGGATCATGGCACAATAAATAGGTAGTCCATTTAGCGCAGCTGATGTCTCGGTTAAATGTAAGATTGCGTAATTTCTACTTGAATTCGTTGTGAAATGTTGCCAACCGTATGAAATATTATAAGGAAAAAATTGACAGATGGTCGAAACACAAAACAAAGCTTTTTGTTTTGATACTTAACCTTATTGTTGCCCATGGTCCTATAATTTTAATTTTGTACGATGCAGCCTTTTGGTATGTTCCCGTACTGCAAAAATCAAGTAGATTTTACTATTTTCTTCGATATCATATAGGAATTTGTATCGTAGTAAAAAATAGTAGATTCTTGTAGTACGGGAAAAGGCCGTTTATGTTTTAGTTACGTTGCATACTGAGTATAGCATGCGAATCTGGTCATCATACGATGTGATCCATATCTGGGAACACTCATTTAAATGTCAGCTGTTTCAACATTATGCCTCTTCTCTTTCGTAAACTTAGTATGTTTTTGTATCGTATGCTTTCCACCTTATTCATAACAAAATACGGTTTCCCTCTCTTACCCTTTTCGTAATCAGTGAGTTCAGTTGTACATTCCAGTGAATCGAATCGTTCATTCACTTAAATCAAGTTGTTCGTTCGTGAGCGACAAACACTTAGCACGACGTTGCACGTGTTTTTTATTTACATTTTGTGTGGACGTATCGTTCGTTTGGGAAAATGTCGAAAAGAGTTAAATTAAACGAGGACAATTCCACGGATGCAGATGGTGAAAATGTTACCGAAACCGTACAGGCTAGATTTGTTTCGGATACCGGCGATGAGGCTGGGCCTCCAATCGATTTACCAGCTGGCGTAACTGTTGAACAGTTGGGTTTAATTTGTAACGCTCTGCTTAAAAATGAAGAAGCCACGCCGTACATCTTCTTTGTTGGCGATGATGAAATTAAAAAGACATTGGACACCACTCTGGACCTCAAGACAATTGATACGGAAAATGTCATTAGCATTGTATATCAGCCACAGTCGGTGTTTAAAGTGCGTCCAGTGACCAGATGTACAAGTTCCATGCCTGGCCATGCTGAAGCTGTAATTTCTATAAGTTTCAGTCCCGATGGTACGCATTTGGCTAGTGGATCTGGTGACACAACTGTACGACTTTGGGATCTTAATACGGAAACGCCGCATTTTACATGTACTGGTCACAAACAATGGGTTATGTATTTGGCATGGTCACCAGATGGAAAGAAGTTGGCAAGTGCCTGTAAAACAGGTAATATTATGCTATGGGACCCGGAAACGGGCAAACAACTGGGACGCACATTAACGGGTCACAAGAAGTGGGTAAATTGTTTAAGTTGGGAGCCATATCACAAAAATCCAGACTGCCGTAAAATTGCAAGTGCCAGCAGTGATGGTGATTGTCGAATCTGGGATACAGTACTGGGACAATGTTGCATGGTAATATCGGGTAAGTTAGGACGCACGTAATTGCACATTATGATTGTTAATAATAAATATTTGATATTTGTTAATTCTTTCAGGCCATACATCAGCAGTTACTGCTGTGCGTTGGGGTGGGGCAGGTTTAATCTACACCTCATCGAAAGATCGAACGGTAAAAATTTGGCGTGCCGCTGATGGTGTTCTCTGCCGAACATTCACCGGTCATGCCCATTGGGTGAATAACATTGCTCTTAATACTGATTATGTTCTGCGAACAGGTCCATTCCATCCAGTTCAGGATCGAAATAAAAAATATTGTGACATAAAAAGTATGACACCAGCAAATACTCCAAATATACTCGATGATTATTGATGATTTGCATTTTTCTACTTCACAGAGGAAGAATTACAGAATATGGCATTGCAACGTTACAAACAAGTGTGTCCAGACGATATTGAATCATTGGTATCTTGCTCGGATGATTTTACACTGTATCTGTGGGTATCCAATCAAAATAAATGCGTACAGCGTATGACAGGGCATCAGAATGTTGTAAATGATGTTAAATACTCGCCAGATGTAAAACTGATAGCTTCAGCTTCATTTGACAAATCTGTGCGGCTGTGGCGTGCCAAGGATGGACAATTCCTAAACACTTTCCGAGGCCACGTTCAGGCCGTTTACACATTAGCATGGTCGGCAGATTCCAGATTACTTCTTAGTGGAAGTAAAGATTCAACATTAAAAGGTGAGTTTTGAAAAGATTTCCCAGTATGCATGAGACCATGCAAGGATATAGGCTGTAGATGGGATCAAAGGATGTTTTTTAAATGATTAATTTGAATGATTAATAATAATCTATCATCTATTTCGGATTTAAATATTTATTCTATTTCAGTTTGGAGTGTACAAACCAAAAAATTGGCACAAGAACTTCCGGGACATGCTGATGAAGTGTTTGCTGTAGATTGGGCACCAGATGGCTCTAAAGTAGCATCGGGTGGTAAAGATAAAGTTGTCAAATTGTAAGTCGTTATTTTTTTTATAAAAATAGAAAATTTATTTAATAACTTTCTATCTATTTACAGATGGGCCTACTAGAGAATCATTAACAATAATAATAATAATATACAAAATGCTAGATATGAACACTTCACATAGAATGTTTTAGTTTACAAACAAATGTATAATTGTAATTTTACGATATTAAACATCCAAAAACACTAAATCACGCATTTGTTGTTCTTGTCTTTGTTTTTCATCTACTTCGCTGTCGAAATATTGCACAGGAACAGCTGATTCCGATTTCAAGGCGCATCTTGCAGCTACAAATCCAAATGATATACATTCATCCACAGTGTAACCTCGTAAAATGCCTGTTATAAATCCGCCAGAGAAACTATCACCAGCGCCAGAAACATTTACAATATCCGAAACGAGAGGAGCAGCATAGAACCTACGAACATACTCAGTCTTGGAAGGAGGGCTGTTGTAATGTAATGATGATTGATTATTGAAAAACCGATGTTGGAAGCAATTGCCGCGTAGATTCACCAAAACACCGTGTGAACCCAAAGTTACCACAATGCAATCGAAATTATGCTGAATTTCTTGTAACAATGTTGTGCAATTACTTATCAATTCATCCTGACCAGCTGCTAATGACTCATTCGGATCCCATTCTACTTTTTGGCCCGTCAATGTTTCCACAATTGTCTTCAATTCGTATACATTGGGAGATATGAATTTTATTTGCTGGTATTGTTGTTGGCTGAGTTTAAACGGCTTACCAGCTATAAGCATATCGGTTGGTTCAAAAAATACAGCTTTATCGTGGCGTCTGGCTAAGGTTAGTATTGAGCCCATTGCTTCCACGGACAAATTACCATCAATAATTATGAGAGGTGACTTTTGAAAATCTTCTTCGTGTTGTTCGACTAATTTACCGGAAATAGATTTATGTATATCCATGTTGGCTAAACACAATTTACAATTTCCATTCTTATCGAATAGAATAGAACATATTGAGGTAGTATTTTGATCGTCAAGGTGTATTTTGCTACACAAGGAGGGAGGCATAAGTTGCAACAGACTTTTGCCTGTATGATCGTTACCAACAACGGATATAAAGCTGGCATCACCATGTAGTTTGTGTATACTTTCCGCTAAATTGCGTCCAACACCACCTGCGGATTCCTTAACTTTTGTTTGATATGTAGCACCATCTAGAGCCAAAGGACTGTCATCAATCATGGTCGAGCACAAATCAAGCATCGATGCTCCAATTATCATTGGTGGTGGTTCTTTTCTTGGTCTACTCAAAGGAGTTGTATTCGTATTGCCACTTAGTTCGCAGGCAATTTCTGCCGCCACTTTAGCATTATTTTTTATTAAGGCAATATTTGCACGTAGGCTGTTCCCTTTTGTAATGTTGGCAACCGCTGCTAACATAAAAGGTGTAACATTTTTACCCTCTACACCCTTCGATAAGGCTTCTTTGTGTGCTTGATCAATGGCCTTTCTAACCATGTCTTTGTCGAGTGCATATTCTTTAGGTATTGGTACTCCGATCAACATACCCGATTGTAGATTTAAATCATATAAGGCCTTAATAAGGGCAGCCGCTTCTTTAGGTCCGTTCAAGTCATAAGGAGCTTTGCAGCCACTATCTCGGGTATAGAAATCAGGAAATCTCCCTTCATTGGTGTAAGCAGCCACCGATACACCTTGGGTTTCAAGGTACTCGAGTGTGCGTGGAATATCCAATATTGATTTGACTCCACTGCTAACAACAACAACTGGAGTTCGGCCCAACTCAACTAAATCGGCTGATATGTCCAAAGAAATATGACCGTCTCGGTGAACACCACCCACACCACCTGTTGCAAATATTTTAATGCCAGCCATATTGGCAATAATCATTGTTGCGGCTACAGTAGTTCCGGCAAATTTGCTATTGGCCACTACATATGGTAAATCACGGCGGGAACATTTTAGGACGTCTGCTTTTTCAACTTCTGATAGTCTACTTATTTCGTCACGTGTCAGACCTACCTTAAGTCGGCCATCCAAACATGCAATTGTGGCTGGAGTGGCGCCCACTGTCCTCACCACATCTTCCACTTCTAAGGCAGTTTCCATGTTATGCGGATACGGCATGCCATGAGTAATAATTGTCGATTCCAATGCAACTACCGGCTTTCGTTGATTAAGGGCATTTCTAATATTCGGATGAATATCTAATAGACTGTGGAAATGCCTACGGTGTGGAAATTTATAATTTCGTCGAAGTTTTAATGAAATATTAGTAATGTTTCGTAATAACATTATTTTTTGATTATTATTTGTGTATGAATTGTATGAATAATTAGTTTATATGCAAAAGGTCTACAGTGTACATCAATTAACTAGGTACGGTGGTTACTCTACTGTTGTGGCAAATTTTCAAAAGGTCGTCTGAAATTCAATATCAATACCCAAAATATATCTTAATAGATTTTTAAACATAAAAAGTATATATATTAATATACTAAAATCTAAATCTAATCTTTTAAATTTTAATTGTCAAGTAATGTTATTTGAGAGCTAATTGGAGAATCAGTAGGTCGACTGAGTAATCCTATAGATTTACGTCAACACAAACTACTAAAGCGATGTGCAGGTAACAACAAATTTATTTGATAGAGCTTTTCAGAGATTTTTAGAGGGAGTTAAGGGAGGAGTTAATTTTTAAAAATATTTAATGTTTAATGCAAGGCAAATTTAGCATCATCAGCAATTTATTACAACCATGACCCAAATATCAGGTCACCCAGAAGCCGAATTCGATTACAACAAAAAATTTTTGCAGTTCAGTGATATGTCAAAAATTTGTATCCCTTTTTCTTTTTGTGGTTATATACCAAACATCTATATAGAAAATCTAAAATCGAATATAAAAGTGTTGGACTTTGCGAGTTTGATACTGTGATAAAAAGCGACTTTGACTTTGAGACTTTTCAATACAAAAAGGCGATTAATCGATTAGTCAAAAGTCGACTTACCTATCCCTAGTTAGTTGGTGTCATGGCCTATAAATAAGGTCACCAAGGGAGACCAGCTGATTATCGAAATTTTTGACATTAGACTTGAGAAAAAAAGCCGTTTTCCGATTTCACCAAGATAGCAATCGAAATCGGAAAACAGCTTTTTTTTTCAAGTCTAATGTCAAAAATTTCGACTTTGTTTACGTTTTCATAATGGAAGTCAATTCACAATAATGCATTTTGACAGCAAACTTGAGAGGTATCGATAATCAGCTGATCTCCCTTGGTGACCTTATTTATAGGCCATGGTTGGTGTTTTGTTGTTTTTATATTCGCGAACACATTTTAGTATATTGCAGAAAATTAAAACTTATCTGAAATGTTTAAAAAGTAATGTAGAAGGCGCATTAGTAATTCATTAAATTTTCATATTGAATGGCTTTTATTTTTCAATTACAGATTTGAGGAAAAGGAAAGTCTGTCATCAGTGCAGCAATTGAAGTCATCTGTACAAAAGGGAATTCGTGCAAAACTATTGGAAACGTATCCACATTTGGAGACTCACATTGATTTGATATTGCCTAAGAAGGACAGTTATCGCATTGCAAAATGGTAAATAAACATAAATAATCCTTTGTGGATCCAGACATACATAATGAATGGTTTACTGAACTGCACACACTTCCATTGAGTTGAAATCCTAGACCGTAAAAATATACGCCAGATAAATTCTTTATATACATATATATACAACAACTAGTAATTAATATTATCTTTTTTTAAGCCATGATCATATCGAAATCTTACTAAATGGTGCAGGTGAACAAATATTCTTCAGGCATCGTGAGGGTCAATGGATGCCAACACTCAAATTATTGCACAAATTTCCATATTTTGTTAATATGCAGCAAGTCGACAAAGGTGCCATTCGCTTCGTTCTAAGTGGTGCAAATATTATGTGTCCCGGCTTAACATCGCCAGGCGCAATGATGACACCAGCAGAAAAGAATACTGTTGTCGCCATAATGGCGGAAGGCAAAGAACATGCTCTGGCTATTGGTATAACAACATTGTCCACCGATGACATGTAAGTGGAATTGCTTGTGATATATTTTACATTTCTCTTACACTTAAACGTTGTATACTTTCAGAGCTAAGGTTAACAAAGGTGTTGGTGTTGAAAATTGTCACTACCTCAATGATGGTCTATGGAAAATGAAACCAATTAAATAAAGACTTAAATATGAAAAAAATAAATAATTTTTTACTTTGTAAAATGAAATACAATTACACCATCTTAACGTACTTATTTCTTTAATTATGAAAAACAAATAGTTTTGTTCTCCCTATGTTCATAAGGACGAACCCAATCGAAAGTTCAAATAGTATAAAACATGGTGCAATTATTACATTCAGTAGCACTCGATATTTGATAAATAATAATTAAAAATATTTAAATGTGCCACGTTTTATTTAATTGTTTCATTCATTAATATTTCTTTATTTTTGTTTATTTATTACCACATAAAGTTATTTGAACCAAGGACGAACTCGATGAAAATTTTGAAAATCGGTCCAGGTACATATCGTTAGCTAAAATGCAAAAAGGCTTAACAAACAAAAAATTGAAAATTGCCTTTTTGAATGAATATTGTGAATGTCAATAAACTACATGTGTTGACAAAGTTTTACACGTCTGCGGTCAAAAAAGGAGCTTCTATTAACAAAAAACAAAAAGACGTAACTACAAGTGGGTTTATAATAATAATATAATAATTGAAAAACAATTTTGTTTTATTTAGGTATACATCTGTCAGTGTATTAAAAGTGAACTTAGAAAAATCTTCATTTGAAATGTTTATAATTTTCACTCAAATCAGTTTTTTGCATCTCCTACACAATTATGCTATTGTTAGTTACGCCTTTTTGCATTTTAGCTAACGATATATAGCTTCCATATATCAATTCGTCTGATTTCCTGTAAATTAAATTTTCTTCATTCAACCAATATCTGTATTGAAGAATATCTGTTGTTCAGATCGGTCCGGGTAACTATAACCTATATTTAATTTTGTGATTCTTGAGAGAAAACTTTTGTTGATTATTGTATCATTATATATGTTAATTTTTAAGGTGAAATGAACTGTTTTTTTAATACGACTAATATTAATACAATAAGCTTAAAGACTTCAGTATTATATAATGAAATAACTAATAACTTAATATTCTGTCGGCTCCACCCAATTTAGTTTTTTTTTGTTTTCCTCCAAATATCCGTCGGTATATATTAAATTTTATCATTGGTTTCTAACCAGGCTGATTGCATCTCTATTTACAATATTGTATATTTTTCGAATTTTAATTTCTTACAGCCTGTGTCCCTGTGTGAAAGAAAATGAATCCTGTTTTATATAAAAAATCGTATAGGCAAAATGTTACGAACGTTAAAATCGAAGGAATACGTAAACCTTTTCCTTTACAAATTGGAATTAACCATGGTACAATTATACAAGGTAGGGTTTCATTCACCTCTGCGAAAATGAATGGAATGTCAGGTTTTCTTTTTAAAATCCAGTTGGGAATATGATTAAGATATTTATTCATAAACAAATCATAAATTTCTTCTGTAAACGAATGGATTTTAGAATAAATATTTTTATATTTTTAAACATACAGTCGCACATTTTGTATTCGACTTCGGCATAAGTTGCTATGACTACATTGAATATCTTGGAAATAACTATAATTAGACGAACGAGAATGTCAAATTCGATCACTTGCTTCAGAGCTTTCTAATGAGTCTCGAACTATGTACTAAAACTTCAAGCACTTTCACACAACACAATCTCTAAACAAATATTTTGTTTTTGAAATATGTTTAATAGGGTTCGCTTCGATTTTTCATTCATGTTTTTGGAAAATAAAATCGTACAAAATTCCCACAAATACTGACTGTCATGCAAATCTGTGATTTTTCGCATTTAACGCAAACATGGCAACCCTTTTTAAAAGTGTAAACATTAGAATGATGGAAGACGCCGACGACGCTGTTGTTTTATCAAAAATTGCAAAAATTACCAACAGCAATGCAAGTGACAACAACTATTTTGTTTATAAACAAAAATCTTGGCAACTTTTGGATGTATTCCAGGATGATTCCACAACATTACTGGACATTATCAAACAATGTAAGTAAAACAATAAATATCCCAGTTGGAGCAGACATACAAACAAACATTGAACCTTTTTGTTTACCACAGCTGAAAATGGCAAATTGATGAATATATTGGAATTCATTGAATCAAATGATGGCGACTACCTAATGGCTCTATACCGAAACGGTTTATATGGAAATAGAAAAAAGGCATCAGTGATAGTAGACAAACTATTCGAGATTCTGTTCGGGAATACAAATGACAATGACAAGTCTAATATGACTTTAACTGGCGATGGGGATGAAGCAGCCAATAATGGAAATGAGGACAGAAAAATTATGAAAACATATGTGACGACCAAACTGTTTGAGGCATTACAAAACTGCCATGCAGATGATAGAGATGAATTGCAGCTGGTAGATTCTGAAATATCATTACCACAAAATTTTCTTCCCAAACTTTGCAATTATCAGTTGAAAAGTGTTCGATGGCTTTTGGCCAAAGAAAGATGTCCTTCCAAATTCTCACAATTTTTCGATAGGCTAACATCAAAAGACAACGAGACTGTTGTATATAAACATCGTTTTCAACGATATGTACAACAGCAAGAACCAGAACCATTGACACTGCCACCAGGAGGTATTTTGGCCGAGGAAATGGGTTTGGGTAAAACCGTTGAAATGCTGGCCTTGATTTTGCTTAACCCCAGAAATGATATAACACATCCCATTATGGATATAACATTTCAAATGCCCGATGCGAAGAGAAGGCGAATGGTAAAAGAAGTATTCTGCATTTGCAGCTCAAAATCAACCAATAAAATTATACAATGTACAAAATGCAACTTGTGGCAGCACATAAAATGTGTGGCCAAATATAACGCTGACCATGATGACGATATCAATGATCCGTATGTGTGTCCCAACTGTTGGCAAGAAGTTATTTCAACACATGGCTTATTGGAAACAAAGGCAACATTTATCGTCTCCCCAAATACAATAAAATTGCAGTGGCTTTCTGAAATAAGACGCCATATTCAACCAACTTTACGCGTCCTGTTGTATGAGGGTATTTGTGGTGGTAAATGGATAAGTCCGAAGCAACTGGCCAATTATGATGTAGTGCTGACGGACTATAACATATTGACAAAAGAGATTTATTTCACCAACGAAAATACTAGCGAACGTACAATGCGCAACAAACCACGTTTCATACGTATGAAAACTACCATATTAATGCTGGAGTGGTATCGCGTCTGTTTAGATGAAGCTCAAATGGTTGAATCCAATACTTCGAATGTAGCTTCATTAGTGCGTATGATACCAGGTAAGTCATTCCAAGCAAACATTGTGAAATATAGAAAAATCATGTGTTTACTTTTGTTCCACAGCAATTAATCATTGGGCCGTGACCGGAACCCCAATCCAAAAATCATTAAATGATTTACAACCGCTATTACATTTTGTGGGCTTTGAAAGTGTAACCGAACCGAATACCTGGAACTATTTGATTAATAATTTTGTTCTGGAACATGAAACAAATCCAGATGCCAAAGGTTTGAAATTGGTAAAGGTTTTACAGAAATGTATGTGGCGCACATGGAAATCTCAAATATCTGACGAGTTGCAAATCCCACCACAGCAACAACTGGTGCATCGCATACAGTTTGATAATCTGGAGAAATTCTTTTATAATGAACAGCACGATGATTGTCGTACAATGTTTATGGGAAATGTCCATAAGTATACGAGCCGGATGAGTACAATATCACCACAAATTATGAAAATTGTATGTGATAGAGAGAGAGGGAGTGACTTTGTATATTTTAAATTAGCGTTGCCTATTGTTTACTTTAGATACTACAACCGTTTTTGAAAATCCGTCAATCTTGTACCATGCCTGTCGTTGTGGTCAATTCTAACAATAGTAAAAGTCAAGCCGCGCAACAGAAGCAGTTTCTTCAACCGCAAGAATTACATTCGTATTTGAAGTCCACCAATGAATTAAGCTGTAAATCGGAATTACGCGCAATGGCTTCCGTGAACAATGGTGACTATATTTAAAAAGGATACACACAACGAATTTTTATTAATTTATTTTTTTATTAAAAACATTAGGTTTGGCAGCTTTATATATTATACAAGAAAAATATGACGATGCCACGAATCACTATAATTTGGTACTAAGGTTGGCCAACGAGTATGTTTACATCAATGTAACGTAAGTAGGACATACATATGTAATTAATTATATAAGTCATAAGATGATTCTTTTTTTCTTTCAAATACAACAGCGTCGACAGCTTGTTGCAAATACATGCTTTGCATAATCTAATGGAAGTCAAACGAATACAAAATTTTACAAATTCCGATATCGAAATCTATCAAACACAATACAATGCCTTGGAATGGAAATATTTAAGTACTTATTCCAATACGTTGGCCAACGTTAAGGCCAATTACAATGCTGCCGTTAATAAATGTGATCAAGAAATCAACGCACATCTTATCGACGCCATGTCTGAGGGCCTTAGTAAACTGAATATAAATGATACCTCACAGTTGCTGCAAAAAATCTATGAAGAATGTATGCCACGTTTTGGTGTAACTAATCCGAAATTAAGTGAAATCCAAAGTTCCCGTTCGTTGCTCTACATTGTTGATCTGTGGTTTGCAAAATTAAACCGAATTGTGAAAAAACTTCAACAAGAAATTGAGGAATTAAATTATTTTACGGAAAATATAAAGCCACGGCATCTGGTTTGTTCCACAATATGGAATGACATAATGAAGTTGGTATACAGCGTTTATGACTGTCATTTGAGGGAGATACGAGTAAGTAATTTAGTTCTTATTTAGTAAAAATGATTTCTAATGTACATTTTCCTAAAATTTCTTAGCAAAAGGAAACAAATGAAAAGAAATCCAAAGAAAAGAAACCCATATGTAAAATGTGTACGATTCGTGATGTAATAAACAATTTTGAATGCCTACTATTTGATAAAGTCATAGACAAGAATACAAATATTACAGAAGGTCTGGAAAATCATTCTCTGGAAATGTTGTTGTGCAAAAGTGAGTATATGAACTTTTTCTTCTTGGTTTCTAATTAACCCCTAATCTTATGATTTTACAGTAACTTTTGGCTTTCTTAAAAATAAACAATCTGAAAATACGCTAATAAAGACCATGGAAAATAGTTGGCTGTATTTGGAAAATTTACAAAATTTGTGTAAACGTTTAATAAAGCTATGGATCGAAATCGAGTTTACCATAAAGGCTTACGATGAATTGGATATGTGTAAGCTGAGAATAACACTAACAGATGATCCTGAGGATAAGTCAATATTCAAGATATTTGAACATGAAGTTGAACAGCGTATTATGGATCAACATAATGAACTACTCGAGGTCCAAAGACAGTTCACAATTAAATTAGCCAGATTGAAATATATTAGGCATTTGGAAAGTGCCAAGGAAATAGGAGCATGTCCAATTTGTCATCTGTCCGACGAAGATAGAGTAAGTAGAAAATTAAGTGAACACATTGGAAATTATAAAAAAAACTTCTCACTTTTCAACAACCAATTAGTATGCCGTTTTGGAATGTGGCCATCATATATGTTACCCATGTTTGAAGTCCATGCAACAATACAACAGAGGTGGTAGTTTTAAATGTTCCATTTGTCGGAATGTTCAACAGCATTCAAAGTAAGATGTAAATGTATAGCTACAATTTACTAATAAAATAAATAAAATTTGTTTCCTTATAGTATATACTACATTAGCAAGTCTAAAGCTAAAAATCCAGAAAATAATAATGTAATTGGGAATTATTCTTCGAAAATTACCTACATTGTGAGGCAAATTCTAAATTTGCAAAATCGAGAAACAAATGCTGGAGAAGAAAACTACCTAAAAATATTAATATTTTCACAATGGTTGCCAATTCTACAGGCAATTGCAGCGGCCCTAAAAGAAAACAACATTACATTTAGACTACAGTGTACACCACAAACACTGGAAGAGTTTAAGGTTATATTGTTTTATACATCATATTTTTGTAGCAAATACATTTTGTAATGATGAATATAATTTCAGAATCCTAGTCTTAATATTACCTGCCTGCTTATGCCGTTTATTAAGGGATCTAAAGGATTAAATTTAGTTGAGGCTAATCATGTATTCTTAGTTGAGCCCATACTTAATCCTGGTGAAGAATTGCAAGCTATTAATAGAGTACACCGCATTGGACAAACTAGGTAATAAATATTTCAATGGAAATGTGTAATATAAATATTCGTAAAATGATTGTGAACTTCATAATATATTTTTTGTTTTATTAAAATTTGCAGGCCAACAACTGTGCATCGTTTCATTATGGAAGATTCTATTGAAGAAAATATACATGACTTTGTTTGCACAACGGCGATAACTGACAATGACACAAGTGGAACAGAACAAAAATGGGAATTTAACAATGTTTCACTAAGTGATTTTGAAAAACTTTTTATATTAAAGAACAGACACTAATTTAATTTTTTTCTAAAATGGCTAACTTAAAACATAACATTCATCATTTCCAAAACAAAATCATTTAGTATTATAAAATATTTTTTTAATTTTAAATTAGAATTGTTATTGTGATGTACATAAGAATTATGTACTTCTATTTTGATATAATATTTATATGAAATAAACAAAATAAAATTTAATAAGAAAAACTACCGATTAAAAACGTTTAAAATCAACGTATTATTTTTGTCATCCATTCAGCCGCATATTAACATCGTTATGCGTATATATTCTATATAACTGGTTTCGGTTTTTTTTTTAAGTTAACTGCTTCTTTTTTTAATTTTATTCAATTATTGCCTTTGCTTTTGTTTATTCTCTTTGCACTGAGTCTAGCTAGTAATATGTAAAATTGAGACCTCTGCTAGAATAATATATTTTATTCTGACGGGAATTTAATTGATGTTTAAATTGCAATACTTAAACATTTAAACATTCAAGTTCATGGCATTTTCAAGTATCCCCAATACACCTGATGCCTGCCCATTGATGATATTTATGTTCTGTATTCAAAACAAAAATACCGATGATTATTCATGGAGAAAACAAGAGACGGAATTAAAATGATGCAATTTACATAGAACATCCTTTGTTTGTGTGCGCGTGTGAGTCTGCATATATGAATGTGTTTGGTACAACTGACAGAGATGTTTTGATTTTTTTGCTGTTGCTGAAAAAAAAATCTTAAGAACATCCATCCGTTTCCTTATATCCTTGACGTAGCAAATTGCAGATAAACCACCTGTTTGTTAACAACGTAGCCACACTGTAATCGCCATTAATATTTCCACTACACACTTAGCTCACTCACAATACATAGTGCGAGATACCAACAGGCTGTAGATAACGACGAACCGATGAAGTATATCTACATATATCTATAGTCAACAGACATAACAATTGTAACATAGGACGGAATGGAATTACATATTAGCCATAATATAGAAATAATAGAATTAATATATTTTTTATATCTTATAAACTTTTAAATTCAAAAATTTTGCGCAATTTTTGGTATGGAATTATAAATATGTGTATATTAATAATCAGCCTTATTCTGGATGTCAATTCCATGTGAATTTACTCGCTCTTTCCCTTCGCCTTATTCTGAACAACATTTTCCTGTGAATTTTTTCGCATTCTCGCTTTCGCCTTATTCTGAATGAAGTTCGAAAGCGAAAAAATCCGCTTTGGGGAAAAATTAGGTATTCTGAATTACAGGGAGTAGGAAATTTTGTGCGAAATTTTTCGCTAATAAATTTAAAGGGAGTTGACTACAAAAACATAAGTAATAACTATTTTTATGAAAAATATTTACACAATACTTATTCTATGACGAATTAGAATATTATAAATGATAGTAAGCAAATTTTTAACTGGAAAACAACCAATAAAATGCCATTGGAAATCCTATTGATAACGATGCATGCTGAACCAAGAATTGCCAAGAAATGTATGAAGGTAATAAGGAATATTTAAGTCGAGTTTGATTTTTGGAGGCGAAATACAGACATTTTGGGTGAGGATCTGTCTCTCAAGAAAAAAATTTTAAAAATTATGGAAAACCCAAATTTGCCTGATGAGCCGCTTAACAGTGAAAAACTTAAATAAAAATTATGAAAGAACAAAAAAAAAATTTTCAAAAACAAATCATAACATAACAGACCACTTTAAGAATTTGGGGAGATAAAATATCGGAATTAAATAAAAAGGCACACAATTATGTAGTGAAATAATAAACTGTGAATTAATTAATTAAATCGTTCTTTTTGCCATCATAAAAAATGGTCTTTTATTTGTAAACTATTGTAGTTGTTGCACCAAATTGCATCAAAACAATGAACAGCTGTTTGACATGCCATATTGTAGGTTGCCATATTTTCAAACTTTAATTTATTTTCTTTTAATTACAAAGCATTTATACAGCGGATTCTTGATATTTCACATTTGTATTGTTATATAGTTTAAATAACAATAAGAAGTAACAATTTTTAATAACAAAAATCAATAAATAATATATTGAAAAATGTTACACCATTAAATTGCAATGGGGCAACACACATTGCAACTTAAATTACAATATGGCCACACACATTGCAACTTAATTTACGATATGGCAACACGAATCTTTTTTTCAACCACCATTTTCGAAAAGTCGAATCTGCATCTCGCATTTTTTGCATCTTCCTATTCATTCAGAATAAGGCGAGAATGTGAAAGCGAAAATTTTTTACATGCGAGATATCTCCCTAGCAAATATCCAGAATAAGGCTGAATATCTAACTGTAATATCAATATCTTACAGATTTTTTTAAATACAATTTTGAATTTAAATATTTCTGGTTTGTATAACATCAAGATTTTATATAAAGTCTCGGATATTTTTTGCTGAAACCTCAATACATGTATAGGGTTATAATAATTTGTCATACGACAAACATGGCTACGGCCTAGTATAACATCCCCCGGAAAGTAGACAGATGCGAATTTACAATTTAGGATAAACATGTGCAGCGTTTGCCATACACACCATAGACGGACTAATGAACGAGACAAGAATGGCGCGCGTAAGGGAGAAATGTCAAAAATGTATTGATTTTCCGCCTCACAACTCTCGCTCAGACAATGGACTTGGACATGCGCCGTGCACAGCTACTACTGCCGTTAGTGTGCATACCAAGCAACCAGCCATCGACTCATAATGACGAACGACCGACCCGTAGTTAGTTGTGGCAACCCAAACAGTATTTCAGATAAATTCTGCACACAGACAATAGTAAAGGAAAATAAATTTTCCTTAAAAAATAAATAAAAAAAATAAATATTTTTATTTGCTAAAAGTTTAATAAAGTTTTTCGGGGAAAATATTAACGCAATATGAACATTTGGATGAATTGCGAAGATAATTGAAATAAGAACGAAACAATAGAGAAAACTTCAAGCAGAAAAGGAAAAAGGAAGTTGTTAAACCTTGAATTTTCAAAAAACTGGGTACATTTTTTCTACAAGTTGAGTCATACTTACTGCAAAGCAAACATATGTGACATTCAGCGTAGCAGAAGGATAAATACACACACACCAGCAGCAGCACCACAAACTCAATTGAGAAATGCAGAAAATTCGAATTTATTTGGACAATATGCACCACAATTAAGAAGGAGTTGCAAATTAAATATTCATTTTTCCGATAAACAAATTAAAAAAAGCGAACAAAAAAACCTGATTGTGGATTGTGTGTAAAACACACAACACACACAGACGAACAAACAAACTAAAACAATAGCATTGGCAGCAGTATGGAGGACCTGTTTCTTTTAATAATAAAGGAGTCGACGGGAACCAAGCACAATGCCCTGCGACAAACTGCACAAATTGCCTATGGTAAGATGATGAGATGCGATGAGATTCCATACATTAACAAGACATATCAATAACAATACCCTCTTGTATTTGATTCCAGACAAATTATATCGACAGCATGGTATACACAGGGATCCATCACATGAACTACGTTCAGTGTGTTTTACAGCCTTACAAATGGCTTTGGATACCAAACGTCCAAAATTTGTAACAATGGGCCTAAATGGATTGCATGTAAGTGATGTCTAAGGGTTATATATTGAGATGGGGGTTTGTGTGTGTATGAGCAAGAGAGTATGGGCCTATGCTATTGATGAACTAATAAAGAAAAAGCCTCCATAGTTTGAAGTACTTATGCGTGTCGTCCCAAGATTCTTATAGGGTCACATGCATATATCCTTAAGTGAATAAGACTGTGTGTGCGTGTGGGCGAATGTGTGCATGGCAGTTTTCATTTATTTTTTTTTTGAAGTACATGGTCTCCTACATATGTATATTACGATAGGGAGTCATCATCGTCATCATATCGATTCAAGATGTTGTCAGTACGTGACATCCTTACCAAAAAGGTTTTTAGTTTGACTTTTTTGTCATCCCATTTCTGGTATATTAGGATGGCGCAGGAGAATATTGTGTATAAGTTTTAAATTTAAATAAATATGGTGCATTTTATGTTGGTCTATGTCTGGGCGATCGATCATCGCTAAGAATATGTAAGTCAACGAGAAACGAGGGGATGACATATATTTATGTTTAGGGGTATGGATGGGGATTTCAAATGTCAACAGGTACGGCCTTGAAAATAATAATTATTGGGCTGTGATATGGAGATTCTAAACTGATATAGCCATTGCTTCATTTGTATTAATTACTTCCTACTTCAATTCCAATTTTCCAAAACATACAACAACCATTTTTTAGATTCATAATTTGGAATTTTATATTGCTAATGGACAGAATAGTGTATATAACAAATTGTTTCTAATAAGTATTCCAGAAACAAATTATTATTATAGTATTACTATTGTGCTGAATGGACCCGGACATTCGTAACTGAATTCATAGTTGAAGTAACATAAGTTTTACCTTAAATTCGATTACAGCTTGGACAACGGCTCGAATTCATATAGTCGCCTTAAAAAAGTTGTCCTTGGCCCTATGTGCTAGGTCGCTGTGTCAAATAATCTATAATAAAATATTGTTTTTGAAGTACATAGGGTTCTGACCCCTCCAACTGAATAGACGTTAATATATTAGTTTTAAGCTTTTGGAGTAGTCTATATTTTGCTGTTTTTTGAATCCCACATGACCCTTTGGGCTACATTCTCGTATACGAAAATAAATTGAATTGAAAAACATCCGCGCGGATGCAAATTAATGATACAGCATTCTCGGCCGCGAACTTTTTATTTTTTCAAATTGATATTATCTCTGTATTAACACTCGATGAAGATACGACATCGATTAAATAATATATGGAAGTCAACAACGATTCTCAAACTAACCATTTTCTATTTTACCTTCAACACAGAGAATAATCAAAGATGAACGATTCTATATTGGTCTGGAACCTGAAGATGATTCCGTTTGGTTACCGTCACAACTGTTGAGAGCCACCTCGGGTATACTGCCCACAAACAATAATGAGGACACTGTTGTTAATGTGCTACGTCTCTTTTTGGCAATGGCATGTTCTCCGGCATGCACCCTAAATGGCAGATTATTAATTGAGATACTATCGCGTTGTGGCGAATGCTGGGAATTAGGATCACGAGCAATTAAGGCGGCATCTTTGGCGGCAGCATCGCAATGTTTGAGAACATTCTGCACATTTCTAATCGAGGAGGCCGAAGATGTAAAGAAAACCGCTCCCGCTGGTTTGATGACCCAAACACAGGCTACTGCCGTGTACAACGAAGTAATACCGGTAATGCAATGGCTCTGTAGCCGCCTTGTAGAACCGAACGTAAACAATTCGCCGAATAAAAAAGTGGAGAATACCTGTACCCTATATTTAACCGAATGCATTTTGACATTGACATCGTCTCTGCCACGCAATGTCTATGCCAATCCACATTTCACTTCGTTTTTGTGGCAGAAATTTTGCCCAACATTGGCAGCAGCTTTGGGGTCGCCGGGCCGTGTCAATTTGGATAAGAAATTTACCTATAAGTAAGATCAAAAAAATTAAATTTAAATTGAATTTAGATGTATGTTTGTATCAAATCAATCGATTTACCTTTACAGGGACGCTCTTCATATTATAGAGAATGAGGCACGAGGCTTCTTTACTGGACCTGGTCTGGATGGCGCACAGGCACGTTGTGTTTATTTAACGGGCATACAACTGCTGCGCATTGCAGGTTCCCATGGCTCATTAAGGCCAATGTTGGAAGCCTTGTTCCATCGCATGTTATTATTGCCGACACCCCAAAATCGCACAGAACCCCTGAAATGTGTGCGAGAGATATTCAAAAGCCCAGAACGTTTAATCGACCTTGCGGTCATTTTATATGCCGATAAAACCACTCCAACAGGATGTAGTGACGAAATGGCTCTATTTCGACTGTAAGTAGATTTCAAGATCTCCTCTGTCCGTATGTTTGTGTTTCAGACGGTGTTTCTTTTAGGATGATTGATGCCATGGAGGAGTGTGCATATGGCACTGGTAGCGGCAATGGGGCCGGCTTTGTCGTAGAGGCCAGTCTGCAGGCCAGTGTTGAATGTATGGTTGCATTGCTACAAAGCTTACAGGTGTTGTGCACGGGAGAGATCAATGAGACGATCATCAGTGATCAAATTGTGAATGTGGTCAACAGCCGATATGGGCAACTGAAGGATGCTGACTACACCGGCCCATTGACATATCAATCAATGGCACGTTTACCACCCTCCTATCGAGATGCTGTGGTCGAATTTCGCCAGAGTGTGTATGAAGCTTCCTCGGGATCGGAAAGCGATGGTGATCAGCATGTGGAGAATGATGTTGTTTCCAATGGTTCGGGCGACACCGAAGGTCCCGAAGAGGAGGAGCATTCCACCTCAAGTGATGAAGCTTCACGCGGCGAACTGAATCGTTGGCCTTACACAAATTTGGAAGTACCCGTATTTCCCATACGTTCCGATGTCGATGCCGATCGGCAACATGCCCGAGATTTTGCCAAGGCCTTGTGTGTAGACTTGGTGCCCAAGTTGGCAAGACTCAGATCATGTATTGAGGTCGATGAGGCGATGCAAGAGTTTGCCTCGGCTGTATGTCAAGAGAATAGCGCAAACATTTCCGACTTCGACTACAATTTCACCATCATCAATGCTGACGGCATATACTTGGCAATCTACTCAGCACTGCTACTCAGCTGGCAGCTAAAGAAGGCTGGTTACTATGCGGACATGCAAAAAGAGATCATGATACCTATGTCGGAGCAACAGTTTGTAACTTCGGTACAGAATACCGGTGTTTTGGTTTATCTTTCGTCGGCCTGGCTCTGCGAGCTCTATCAGAGCGTTTTGGTGACCAATCTTTTGGAATCATTGGATAGGAACGATCAAGATTCACGATGTGCCTTGATTGATATGCTATGCGATGCAGGAGGCTTGGGACCCACACAGATGATGTGCGAATGGCAACGTCTTCAAACGGCAAATGTTAAATACACCGACGATGAACAGTCCAGTGCTCGTCGTGAGGCGGCCAAGAAGTTAAGTAGACGTTTGCTCACCTGTTGCTGGGATTCGATGGTAATGGTGCTAAGTTCAGGCTTGGGTGATCTACCCAGTTCCAGCTCAAGTAAATTTGTTGCACTCTCCAAGAGAACATTGCGAGTGAAGAGCAAAAGTACCAAGTCCAACGGAGAGGCATTGTATGCCATGTGTCTGGATGGTTTGCATTCGGTAGGTGTGAGAACATTTGCTAAAAAAGGGGTCCTTAAAACCGCTTTCCTCTTAACATTTCTTTTGCAGGCCGCTACTTTAAGCAATAACTTGAATTTGCAACACTTGGCAGGAAAAATTCTAAATCTATTGGCTTCTAATGTTTGCCAGACAACTGGACCACGCATCTCCGCCAGTCAGGCCATGTCCATGGATGTGGTGCTTAGCGGTGGTCTGAATTTGGGTTCCTATAGTCCAGATTGTTGGCAATCCATATTTGCGGTGTGTCGGCATGTCAGCCAACTGGAACATGACATGTTTAGCATGAGAAACCCTTCGGTGCCCTCCTCTTCACCGAATGCCAATCGTGATATTGAAACGGGCGAGAAGTTACAGTGCAACGGAGGTCAGAATGACAAACTTAATTTGGCCTCAATACCCATTGACGATGATGAGACGTGGTAAGTGGAATACAAGTCGAAGTTAGCATACCGCACCGGTATTCAATTATTTCATTCTGATTGCAGCGTCGATGTATACAGCTTCCTGCAAGCACCCTTGCAGAGTCCGAATACGAATATCACATCAATTTTGAAGGTGTATTCGGGCACCAATGAAACGGTATTGCTTAGTCCCAACGATACTACCAAGGTGTTGTGTGGCCTCTCCCATCAGGCCGAGAACTTGTTCAGTGATGCTGCAGAACGTTTAAGTTTACCTTCGTTATGCCAGTTTCTCAAGAATTTGTGTCGAGCCTCCAGGGAACAGCTGTACAAGAATACAGCAACTCGTAAGGGCGGTAGCCGAGTTTGGTGGCCTAGCAAGGGATGGCGCAAACACGATTCTCTACCCATGTCATTGCTATTACATCGCATTGGCGATGTTACCCTCAAGGTGTTTCGCAGTCCCCGACCTTTGTTGCACATACTAAAGGTTTGGGCCATAACGGGACCGCATCTAATGGACACGGCCTGTCATCGTGACAGGGTGATATCGAAACGAGCCATTGAATACATTCACGATATCGTAACAGCCCTGCTGGTAGAGCAATCCGAGTTGCCATATTTCCACTTCAATGAGGCGTTGCTCAAGCCTTTCGAGAATTTGCTAAGCATGGACAATTGTGACTCCGATGTACAGGATCAAATTGTAGCGTGTCTCTATGAAATTGTTGAGGCACATCGCACAGAGATACGTTCGGGATGGCGTCCACTATTCGGAACATTACGAAATGCCCGCTCACGGATGCTGAGCACCAGCAACATAATCGATATTTTCCGGGTATTTTTGGATTCGGATAATACCTTGGTATTTGCCAATGCTGGCTTGGACTGCATTCTGTGTCTGCTGTCCTTCTTGGAAGTGCCAGGAAGTGGCAACGGTGGTGGTGGTGGCAACAGCGGTAGTAGCAACGGAAATGGCAATAACACGGACTCCAATGAGGAACCCAACTTTAGACCAACCGAGTTCCTACACGAAACCCTGCGTTTTCTGGAGCGTTGCTCTTCCATACTCGGCTTCATGTATAACATGCCAAAGTGTCCGAATTTCCATTCGACCTACAAGATCAAGGGCATATCTTATACACACATCATCGATGCCAATATTCCCAACTCCATGGAGAACTTCACCTACTTTGGCAATGACTATTTGCAGACCAAAAACGAACAGCACATGATCTCCTATCGGTCACTGCACATCGACAAGGAGAACATTGTGAAGATCGATGAAATGGACAAGCCTTCGGGAGTACTGAAAGTGTGGTTCCTGCTACTCGATGGTCTCACCAACTCCCTCATTGTGTGTCCCTACTCACACCAGGCTCCAATTTTGCAGACCATTTTTAAACATTTCAAGAACCTGCTAAGCAATCCAGGCATAGAATTCGGATTCTACTGCATTAATCATCTGCTAATACCGATGATTCAGGACTGGTTGCGGTACATCAATAAGACCGGCACCTCGTGGCAGCTGGTGGAGAAGAATTTCAAGCATTGCTGTTGCATGACAACAGATTTGGTGGTGGATTTCATAAAAATGTCCGTACCAGAGGTCCAGAAACAAACCTCCAATACACGGACCAGAGTTACACAAATTGTCCAGCCCAGTGATAACTCCTATTCGAAGTTGAAATTTGTCACCGAACCGTTGGAGGAGAGGAGTCATCCGCAAACGGACTACAATACCACGACAAATGACGAGAACTCGTCGTCAGATACTAAGGAGTCCTTGACGAAGGTGTCAAATTCCGCAACACTGGCTCTGAAGCAGTTGCTGCTCGTACTCATCGAGTGTGCGGCGCAGGTGCAGGAAACGGTGGCCCGGGTAGGTGTTTCTTGTCTGAAGCATGTTATACTCTCCACCGGAACTCTCTTCAATGAATACCAATGGATGATTGCCTGCTCGGCCATACACAGAGCCTGCACTGTCACCATCGCTCCCTTGCGACAACTATCCTTTGCTTTCCATGAAAAATCCAATAGCTTCTATGGAGACTGTGCGAATGTCAAGGTTGCCGCCAGGCGTGACAGCACCGTGGAAGAATTGACACGTATATATTCATTGGCCCAGCAGGTCTTTTTGTCGGACAATCAAAGGGAGCCGGGAACGACGAAGCCCAATAGCCACTTGGACAAACATTTAACGGATGACCGAAGCTACTCCTTCCTACTTTATCCCCAAAACAATGGCTTCAACTCGAACCTGGATAATTTTGTAATTCGAATACCCTTCAAGACATTGGTGGTTGGATTGTTGGCCAATCAAATGCTGCTGCAGTTGGTGGCCAAGTTACTTTTGTCTCGTCTCAAATGTGTTCCTCAGGCTGTGTCCACGTGCATTTTCGACAACTACACAACGGCCAGCCAACAGACTTACGACTATGATTTGGACTTTCGCTCAAAAGAAATACTACTACGTTGCTGCCTGCAGTTCCTAACGAGCGCTTTGGAGTTTGACTCACGCCCAGGCCTGAAATTCCTAATGCAAAAGGTGGCCAATATCGAATACGCCGCCAATCTCTACAAACAAATGACATCGTCGTGGATGATCTACTACATTGCTCTGGTCGATTCCTATCTAAATGACATAGTTATCTACAATCTGGGACCGGAGGATCTTAATTTCATACTGGAATCCTGTTCTAGGCTCAACACCACCAAGGTCAAGAAAAAGGAAAACTTTGTGCGTTACCTATTCTGTCTACAGGACGCTTGGAATTTGGTCTGTGAGCTGTATCTAAGCAATTCCACCCTGCACGACATAGAGAATGGGCGTCTGCGCAATTCCGACACAGAACTGAAACACTTGGCGTCAGGATCGGCCCGGCCCATCAAGTCCATGTGCATAACAATAAATGGAAACTTTGAGAATGGCAATGGTTCTAGTTTTTCCGAGACCACAGATTATTCGCCCAATAAATTCACCCAACAAATGGCCGAGGAGGAAAGCATTACCATGACCACATTGATCAGTGAATTCCAGCCGAAGAGTCGCAACAATCCATTCGATACAAATCGTCCGCAAAAGACGGAAGCGGAATCCATTTCGCCGGAAATTGAACAGCAGAGGGCCACCAGTATCCTCAAGGATTCGAATTACAAAAGGGCAGCCTTGGCTCAACTTGTTGTGGCATCCATGGAGTTGTTACGTTCACTGCCCGCAGAAGCTGAGAGCAATTTGCGTCTGCTAATGACGCCAACAATACGCGAAGCATTCCGTCTGGTCCAGTTACAGGGTAACGAATTAAAAGTTAATCAATTTTAGGTTTTGCTTGTTGAGTTTTATTTTGATTTGTAAGTAATGCCCCGATGCGCCAAATGTCCGTTGCCGCCGCTATGGTGTCATTTGGTGCCGAAGGGTGATGCTTTTTGATGACAATTGCAAAAGAGTTATATGTTCTGCAAATCCTCTAACTAACCTCAAAACCGTAACTCCCTTTGACTAAAAACGAAAATGAAACAAATTAATACCTATATCCCCTTTCTTGTTTCCACTAAAAGAATGTCATATGTCATCGCTAATAAAACTGAAAAAAACACACACACATATATATAGACACATACATACAAAACAAAATAAAAATATTTACTATCTCTGCAATTCCCTCCATATACCCCCACCATTTTTAACACGGTATTAACATTTACATAAAAATATATATAATTGCAAATGGCATGCATCGAGATTTGTTTTTTGGAAATTTCAAATGTGTACTAAGAAGTGAGGTTATTCTAAATATTTAAAAAATTGTCAATCAATTTTGGAATTGGAAAATTTAAATTAGGCTTTAAGAGTAAAAAATATAAATACCATTTACGGGATTATTTGTTATTAACATTGAATTTTTGAAAAGGGGGTAAATTTTACCCCTTCGCTCATACATTTCACAGTTCTGTTCAATTTGTTTTTGGCAATATTGTTCCACCCACGTTAATACAGCTCAAAACCCGGGTGCATTAGTTGCAATCTATAACAAAAAAATACTAATCCATGTATAGCCTCACTTTTTGGTGTATAACCTTCAAAAATTCGAGATCATATTCCGTTTTTTTTTATTTTTTTATCAGTAACACCGTGATATTTGCGCATAATGATATATTTATATACAATATATAATACATACATACATATATACAATACTACTATGCATAAATACAAATTACCACTACAACAACAACTATATACAGTACAGATAATTGATAATTGCTACAACAACTACTGTATACATAAATCATAGCCGCCCATTACCGCCTAAAATTAGACTATTTTTTGTAATAACTATTTATCGTCAGGATTATTGTCATTATCATAAACAAAATACTACTATTATCGGCTTTCAAAAAGCATTTCGATTTAAATGTGTTTTTTGTTCTTTTTTTGTTAAACTTTTGGGTATGTGCGTATCCAAATATATACATATACTAAGTACATGCAGACACATATACATACATATGATATATGTAAGAGTGTACAACAACAACAACTATTCGTACTCCATTATTGTACCTATGCTAATCACACATCAATCATAACATACAACAAACATAACAAAAAACTGCTTTATTATTACAAACATAAAAAAGAATCGAGCGTTTTCTATTTTTATCGATATCAGCTAATATCTGCCGCCTGTCACATCCAACTAACTACTCTCCTCTCTCAGTATTATATTATCATGCATGCATGCATTCATGCATCAAAAATCACTCTCTCTCAATCATGATTCTTTGAGTTGATTCCCCCCAGGTTCAAAGAATGAAAAAGAAAAACTGCAGTTCTTTCACTCCCTCTCTTATTCTCTCTGACTGTTTTGGATGAATTAGAAGAACGTCACTCAAAGTAAAAACTCAACAGCAACAGGTATCAACAATAACCGTTATTACAACAGCAAAAAAAAAAAAAAAAAGAACAACCAACATTAACGAATTCACAGCAGCAGCAACAACAACAATAGCATAGTTCATGATTCAATGCTCGCTCGTAGGCGCAAATCAATCAAAACAAGAAAAAGAGATCATCCTTTTGGATCATCCTTTCATTGTGGATTCATCTCCTTGTCACATCACACTGTCCATCGTTTAGTGATACTCCCGGTTTCTATTGCTATCTATAATCAGTCCTGCAATGAGTCCTGAACTTCGCTAATGTGTTAAATATTTATATATAAGTGTGTGTGTGTGCGCTTTTTTATTAAATACTGGTCATAGAGAATCTGACAAATTTTAGCAGAATATTTGCTGAAAGCTCGTAATTTGTGAAATAGTCAAATTATTCAAAGAGACAAATATTAAAATCTCTCTCAGAGAAAAACAAAAGATCAAAACATAATGGCAATCTTACCAAATTTATCGGAAATCCCAATCAGAATTTACTCGGCCGAATTTGTTGAAGAACACGTTTTCAAAGAGGAAGGATTTTCATTGAATAAAAAATGTATTCGTAATATATTCATGGAGGCTCTGAGTTTGCAAAATCTTACTGCATAAAATTCTTTCAGTAAACTCCAGTAAGTTTGTTATTGAACTGTCAAACTTGCTCTCTCTCTTGTCTCTCTTTTACTAGATTTTTGGGAAAACAGACAACATTTAGTAACATTTGGTAACAATTGTTACCAAATATCGAGTAAACAGACTCAACTAATATGGTATAGCCTCAATATAAATGAGTCGTTTAAGTCCATTGAAAGTGGTTTAACTCCATTTTTTTATATTGAGATATTTAAAGGTTTCAGTTTGATTTGATTCAAAAATATGATTAAGTGGCATTAATTTTTTTGTTTTGACTTTGTGCTCTAAACATGAACTTTCCTAAAAAATCAAAATTTGTATCGGAACCTAAAATGGACTTAACAACTTTCAATATAAATGATCCAAATGTACCGCTCTTATTTTTAGGGTTTTTATCGCCTTCTTACTACGAAGTGGCTGTAATTTTGTAATACGGATTTCTAGTAAATAAAAATAATGTTCGCGAATTCTTTGTCTGAGACCATATTTTTAACCTTAGATCCTCGAAATAAGTCTGTAATGTTTATACATTAAGGTTGATTAAAATGTTTAAAAAAAATGTTTGTTATTAAAAAAACGCACAGACACACTCGTATATAAAAATATATATTGATTTTATAGAAAGTTAAAAAAACTAAAACTAAGAAACATGATGTAATGTCTATTCCTCGAGTAAGACAATCTTGACTATGTGTGGTTAACCATAAAAACAAATAGGGAAAGACAAATCACCCTCCCCCGGATCTTTAGAAAAATAACAGAAACTAATTATGTAGTTAAATAAATTTCTATTTTTTAGAATTGAGTATCAAGCTTAACTGTAAGTTTTGCCTCAGATAGGTACAATCCATAATCTATTTATGATAGATCAATGATTCGCGACTGGAGGGGTAAATGGTTATCCACGCGCACAATCACTCACACATACTCAAAACTCAGTTGGGTGTATAAATCTGCATAATTTTAAATCTTAGAAAATCGCAATCTATACATACTAGAGTCCAGGGTCTTTTCCACACATACAACCGCAAATGTTCCTAAGAAGGTTGACGGCCAAATTATTGTTCTCTTCCCGTACTTCCCGTTTTTTTGAGTCCAACTGCCCAACTGGTTAGTAGTAGATTCTTTCTGATTCTAAACACCCAACTGAAGAAGAAAAAAAAAACAACTAAAATCTATTGGCAAGGTTACGCCTTCATTTTGAAAAAAACGTCTCTTGATTCGATAGATTCGAGTTAATGTAGATCGATGATCCCTAATCGTGTCTCGTATTTAGGCAAACCAATAAACAAACAAAATCAATTTACAATATAAGCGATAGAATGTAGAAAATGAGCTGTAAGCTGGATATTACAACCAATATAACAACAACAACAACTGCATCCAAAACATTCGGAATAACATGAAATTAGACAACAACAACAACAATGTTTTGGGTACAAAATTAATTTTTTGTTCTTGTTCTTTAAAAAAAGAAAGCAGTAAATTAATGAACTATTTATTCCAATTCGATTTGATTCGTTTCGATTTGAATGTGGTGCATGTATGAATGAACGAATGAAAGAACGGAAGGGTAAACTGGTGATGATGATGAATTAGCGTAAACAGTATCTCTATATATTAACTAATAATAATTATCTTTACTAATAATGAAATATTTATTTATATGTATATGTATACAAGAAAACCAACAACAACAAGAAACCAAATAAAAACGATAATAAATAATAAAACAAAACCACAACAATATCAGTCCAAATATAATATTTTTTTAAATGGATCGATATTTAGTTTGATAATCTTTTTTTTTTTTTGCTACGTATGATGTTTGCACTTTGACCGGTATTAAAAAGGTGAGTAATCGTATTCAGAATTTATTGTTTTTTTTTAGTCATGCAAAAATAAAGAATACCTCGTGTTATTGAACGATTGCCATTGGCAGATAAGAGGGAAGTATACAGAGTTACATTGCCCATTTCTGTACGGTAATCTCGACGGGTATTGCCGATAAATTGGAATTCACAATCTTTATAGCTTTATATCGACAGACAGTACGTCGCGTCGCAGTACGTCGTGGCAGGAAACATGCATGTGACCAATATGCCTAACAGACAATTCAGCTCAAAAAGCCAGAAGTGCTCATATAAGCATATATCCGAGAAGAGGTTGATGGGTCATGACTTAAAGGGTTGTAGCCATATGAAAATTGGCAAAAATTGACATTGCCATTTACTTGTTTTAAATTACACTTAAGATAAAATATGTTTAAACCCGATCGGACAAAATTGCTAGTAATGGACAGCATAACCGTTATTTTTCCTAACGACAGCACACCTACGAGGCATTAAATCAATAAAATGCTCAATATGATCCTTGGGTATACTATTCCTCGCATCCTGAACCTTTGGGATGAGGTTATGCCTGTTTGTTTGTGAAACTATTTTTATACCCTTCTCCACACTGTGGTACAGGGTGCATATGTTTGTAACAGGCAAAATGGAACGATATATAAACATGGTTCCTTTTGATATCGATTTATGCATGTCCGTCCGTCTGTCTGTCCAGATTTAGACATAGCTCCCATATATATTTTCGTCCGATTTAATGTAAATGGTGAACAAAGTACCTATATATCTTTCGATTTGCAAGAAATTTGGCATAGGATACTGAATTGAGCCTAGAATGAGGTGTATTTGGTTTCATGAAAATCGGTTCCGATTTAAATATAGCTTCCATATGTATTTTCGTTCGATTTTATGTAAATTATGCACCAAAGTCCCTATATATCTTTCGATTTGGGCATAGCGTACTGAATTGAGTGTAGAATGATTTTAACTGAACTGCGTCTAGAATGATATGTGTTAAATTACGTGAAAATCGGTTCTGATTTAGATATATATATATATATATAATTTCCTTCGATTTTATGTAAAGTTTGCACTAAAGACCCAAAGTTTGTACGATTGACACACTATTTTGTTGAAATAGATATAGCTCCCATTTATATTGTCGTTGCATTTTAGGTAAATTTGAGATTAAATTTTGAAGATTGCGGCCAACCGAATTGTGTTTATCAAGTTTTATCAAAATCGATTTACATACGTTTGTCCAATTGTACGCAATGGGTCTCTAAACTTTCCCAAATGAAATGAAATTTAGCATAGTTTCCAGAAGGGCATAAAGATCACATATTGAAAATTGTTCAGTTTCATGTCAATGTTCTTTCGAAAAGGCGAAGTCTGTTAGGAGACATATGTATAATATACCCAAATTGGTGAAGGGTAGTCACTGCCGCTCAATTTCTATTGACATTTTTTGCAAAAAAAAAAAAAAAAAAAATGTATATTTTCATACGATTTAAAGTACTTTAAGATGGACAATTCTATACACAGAAGTTCTAAATTGCAATATGTTTAGTGCAATTTATGACAAACGAATATATTTAGACTGCCTTTTTAAAATCTGTGCTATAAGTTATCTTCACAGTCGAATTTGTCCTTTTGGCTCCTTCATATACTGGCCAAGGACATTCATTCCCAAACGGAATTTAATAATTATAATAATGATTTTATCCCTTTATTTTTAATTCTTACTTTTTATTACCATTTTATATTAAATTAAACCCTTTGAACAGTGGTCCAACAAACTTTTGAAAACAAACTTTTTTCTTCAACATATTCACAAATTGACAACACTGCTTTTATCTGATTTCTATACATTTTTCTCTTCCTCTCCATGTGTCTCTCCCTCTCTGTAGTAAAAATAAAAGATACATTCTCTTTGCATGGTATTTTGTTTTCTCATTATTTTTAGTGGCGGCTGGCTCATTGAAGAAAAATACCAAAAATTCAATTTCATAGTATTCTTCAGTCAGTCAGTCAGTTGGCCGACAGCAACGACGACGTTGCCCAGTGTGTGAGGGGCTACTACCAAGTGAAAGTGTTGCGGTGGTATTCGACGCAAATGCGGTTATATTTTGTTACACATTTTATTTAAGAAGAAAACCATCAAATATCTATCAAAAAAGAAAGAAAATCGAAAAACCAACAACCAGAGAAAAATTATGTAAAATTTGCAAATAAAGAAGAAAGTTGCAATGATAATAATGAAGAAGAAGAAAAGTAAATTGTGTTACGTGAAAAATCTAAAAAATATTTATTTGAAATGTTTTTTGTTCGCTGTTGATGAAGAAGAATACCTTTTATTTTTTTGCATATCTGTGCTAATCTACCTCCACCCAACTAAAGTTTTCCTCTTGTTTGCGTCGTGTGTTCGTTTGTTCGTTCCTTCGCGTTCGTTTGCCGTTGTCTCCTTTACATCAAAAAATGCCCTTAGTGTACGCCGCGCTGCTGCTGCTGCTTGCTGACTGAAATGTGTACACATTGAGCGGTGGTGCTTGCTTGCTAACACACATTTTCGTACATATCGACGACGTATGTTTTGAAAGAGAATGAAGTTATTTTGTTGTTGTTATTATTATTGTTGTTGTTGGTCTCCGTGTTGTATTTCATTTACAATTTGAGCTGCTCTGTCCAATCAACCAACCAAGCTCGCAGCCAGCCAGTCAGTCAGCCAAGCAATTCTATGTGGGAATGAAGTGTATCTGTGGTTCTTTTGTATATGTCGGTGTTTGTGTGTTCGTGTCCGTTAAAAAAATTGCAAAATAGAGAATAAAAGTAAGCAAAAATAAAAATAAATAAAAAGAAAAAATGTGTGGCATTTAAGTAAAATTTATTCTTGCTGGCCAAAAGAATAATACCAAATAATAATTTAAAGTGCGAATCATGCCTAGTATAAAATTGTGTATTTGGGGTTGAATGCCAGAACAACCCTCCACCATATGTATAATAATTGGCCAATGATTTAAAAGTCAACAACAAAAACAACACCAATTAAAAAAAGAAAAACAAATTGCGGAAAATTTACCAGAGAAGCCTCAATAAGTTCGCATTGAATTGGATTTGTGTGTCATTAGTGAAACGGGTTTCAATACCTTTTAGCCAAGTGTCGCCGTCACAACAAAGTATATTCCGCCACAAAGCAGATATGTAGTGCAATATTCCCTTCTCCACCCCTCTCTATACTCAGTCAAACATCCCAAAGAACCTTCTGCAAAAAGAAATTTAACAAACAAAAAAATAAATTAAAAAACATTTGTTGTTTTACGCGCCTTGTATCGATCGGTGGCATTTACGCTTGCCACACAGCTTTGCTTGGTTGTCGTGGGGCGGCTAGGTCGCTCATTGTAGGACCACTTGAAACGTTAATCTACCACAACAAACACTTGGCCCCCTTTTTATTTTTCTTTGCAAAAAAGGTAAACTAAACAAAAATAAAAACTCTGTGAAATGTTAAGAAAAAGCCCTGGTCTTTGCTGTAGAAAACGAAACAAAAATCTCAACAACGACAAGAAGAAAAACTACAACAATAAAATTGTCAACCTTGTTTCATCGTTTGATGGGAACAACAGCACCAACAATACAACAAATGCTGCAGCAGCATCGTCATCATCATCGTCGTCGTCGCAATCATCATTATCACCATCATCGTCAAGTGATGTTGGTAGTATACACAACAACTTAAAGAGAACAATAACAAAAACATCAACAGCAACAACAACAACAAACGACAAGTTATACAAACAAAAACAAACTTACGCTGGCGTAAGCTGTCGTCGCTCTACAAAATTGGAGCTCAATCGACGAAAGTTGTTCACAAGCAATGCCGGTTATTTCATCCGGCAGGCATCCCCATCATCTATTGACTACAGACGTCGACTACAACTTGACTTTAACAAGCTGAAACCTCGCTATAAACTATAAACTGCAGCAGCATCGTCATCCGTGCTAACCAGAATTACACCACCATCGCTGCCACCGCCGCCACTGTCTTCAACAGTGTGAAACCTACTCTACATCTTCCACTTGACTTCTTTTCTTATTCTCAACTTTAAGTACTTAAACAAATGTGCATCTAAGGTAAGTTTATAGGTTGTTCGTCCGTCCTGAGACACCCCCAACAACCCATCTATCCATAGTTTTTTCATAAGGTACAGTTTTTGACACATCTTAAACAGTTTAGTCGTGGTGGTAGGGTGCAAGGAAATTGTGTTGCAAAAGGAAACAGGAAAATGTTAATGCATAATTATTTCAAGCTTCCGTCAAGGAAAATCCTCTACTTTTTTATTCCTAGAAAATGTGTGTACCACACTCTCTCCAGCATCACGGCAAATCAACCACCACTACAGCTAGTATAACCCACCATAAACTCCAACAAATCCAAAATAGGTTAGCAGGAATGGAACACCACAACCCCCAAATTATATCTTACCCTCCTCCCCCAACTCCTGGCCCCCTCATACCTTGGCATGTTGTATAGCCAAAGCATGAAAATGTCAATGAGCCACATACACACACAAAATACCATCATCCTCAGCAGCATCATCATCATCGTGTTCGTAATATACAATACAACAACAACACTACCACCACCACAATCAGATGCAATAATACAAAACGAACACCGACAGACGGACGGACTGACTGGGTGTCTGCCTGACTTTTGATGGAATGACCTTTTCTTTTTCATCCGCTTCTTCTTCATCAATGGCATTTTTTTTTAAGAAAAAAAAGCTTTTTGTTTTGGAAATTTAAATTATGCGATGGAAAACAAAAACTAACCGGTTTTAATATTTCCCAATTTTACATCTCCTCGGAAATATGAGGAGACACCCAAGTTCCAGAAAAAAAATAATACAATGGTGTTAATAAGCAAACTTGTTTGTTTATGTTCACATATTGTTTATATGTTGGAATGCCACTTACGTACCTACGTCCGTACATTTTTATTTATGTTTGTTGACATACATTTGGAAAGGGAGTGTGATTGTGTGTTTGTGTTCATGTGAATGCTTTACAGTGTATATAATTGGCTTGAAGCATCAAACTTAGTAGCTGCACCTAAAATTCCATTCGGAGAACAGGTTAAATTGTCATTATTGGTCAAGAGGAATGTGGTACTTTTTTCTGGTTTCATATAAACTTAAGTACAAGTGTATTTGCATGGAAGTTTTTCATTAAAACTTCAAATTTATTGTACAACAAAACATTGAAAATCTTCAATATACAGTGGAGATGCTGGTGATACATTCCGACATATCAATCTTAAATTAGTTTCGAAAGATATTTCACAAATACAAAGATTTATCGAAATTCGGAAGCCTATATCATTTTTTCGATACGATATTTAAATTTTTTGTAATCAGGAATTATGGGCTTTAAATAGATACCAATTTTGAAAGAAATTTAAAAAGCTTAGAAAAAAATGCACCGTCAACGCTGTCAATTCGGAAGTCTATATAATTTTTCGATACGATATTTAAATTTTTTGTAATCAGGATTTATGGGCTTTAAATAGATACCAATTTTGAAAGAAATTTAAAAAGCTTAGAAAAAAATTCACCTTCAACTCTGATCTTTCAGAGAATTTTTCTCTCAAACACTCCAAGAGTTGCCTCATATGATTGTGCAAGTACTCATGTTTCTGATCCATATAACAGCACGGGTAGTATCAGCATCTTGTAGAGTATGAGTTTCGTCTGGCGAGAGATGTCCTTGTAGTAGATCCTTCGTAGTAGACCGTTCTCCGAAGGGTACCGAGGTATATAAAATCTTTGACTACCTCCAAATGGTAGTTTTCAGTTCCACAGTTGGTCCAAGGTTACATCATCTTAGTCTTCTCGCCATTATAAATGCCGAACGCAGAGATGGATTTAAACATCTCTGAGTGGATTGGGTTGTCAAATGCAGTTTTATAGCCGACGATGATTTTTTCGTGGGTCTTTTCCAGGATTTGGCGCAGTGTGAAAATCTGGTCTATGGAGGATTTACCAGGTCTGAAGCCGCATTGGTATGGTCCAATGTCATTGATCAGTTTGTTCAGTTGTTCACACAGCACGCTGGATATCACTTTATATGCGATGGGAAGGAGACTTATTCCTCTTATAGTTGGCACATATTGTCTTGTCTCCTTTTTGTGCACGGAACACAGAATGCTTAGGTTCCAATCATTGGGCATTCATTCCTCTGACCAAATTGTACTAATCAGCTGGTGCATGCTCCTGAACAGCATCTGTCCATGTGTATGTTGAAGTAAGATCTGGAAATGGTTTTGGAAATTCGATGTGTCTTGCAGATATATCTTTACAAAAATATATATTCAATACTTGTATCCCTCTTTCGATTGATATGGGACTCAATGTTAATTTTTTTACATGCTTGGTCAAATAAGACCCACAACAACGGAGTAACCGGAAATTGGAAAGTTAAAAGGATCTAAGTTTTTATGAAAATATGTGAAAAAATATTATTTGCGAATTTACAGTCATTTATTGAAAATGTTCACCAAAAATAGTTTCCTTCCAAAGAATCAGTTGTTTGAAAATACAAATTGCATACCTCTTGATTTGAAATATACATAACAGAGCCAAAGTTGTGATGTATTTGCAAGCTAATGCCACAACTAATTTGGTAGTCAACTATTTTTTATTTTTAATTGAAAAAAATGACTCCCAAGGCTCATGGAAAGTTGGCTCCTATCAAATACTAGATCCTTAGTTGGCCAAAATTCTATCTGAGCTAAATCGTCTTTTCTCGAATATACGCTACCATTGTGAATAGCATAATCGTTTATTAAAATATCGAGCTGTCATTGTTCTTGCATTGATCAGTATTTCCGTGTATTGAACTATAAAGCGTGTAACGAAATTATATTTCCACACCAATGAGCAATGGTTACTGGAGTGCCTTATCAAGTGAACATATCGGAAATTAATAAACAATTCAGAGCATGTCTAAACACACCCATACACACAATAGCAACAAACAAATTTCATTGTTAATCGGTTAAAGATGTTAATGATTTATTGTACTAGGTATTCCCTCGCAGTATTATTTAAATTCACGTGGAATTAAATATATTTTGAAAAACCTTTTCGAAAAGTCACACCAACTCAGCATTATTTTTGCACGATACATAAACCTGATTATACATCCGATTATTATTCGATATATTATTGTATATTTGATTGACACCATCACCATATTATTTATTAATATTTGTTGTTAGTAATTGTTGTTGTTGTCCAATGTACATATTCTAGAATAAGCGATAGCTAAGGGGAATTTCAAGCTGCAGCTTATTAGAATGGATTGCACGTAAATTAAAAACCAGTTTCATATTAAATTTATTTAATTTGTTATTTTAAATTACGTTAGGGTTGTGCATAGTAAGTGAGGATCTTCCCAATGTTTTATATTTATTTTGACTTCAATTTTGCATTCTATTTCTGCTTGTACATTCGAATAACATCAGAAGTCAGAATGCAGATTGACTGTTTACACAGACCGATGTAAAAGTACAAAAATCAAGGTGTTGAAATTATGTTGTGGCTATTAAAACATTCAAATAAAAATAAAAAAAATAAGAAATAAAAAATATTCTATGGAAACTTAATTTACGGAAAACTAAACCGTATAACCTTTTCAAAAAAATGATATCGTGTTGGTTTTTACATTTTTAAATCCATAGAAGTATAATGACAAAGAATTGCCCACTTCCTACAAACTGCAGCAAAAGCAACACTTAGGTACCAAAACCCATCATCAAGAAACCCGTGGTAGATCAGGAGTTTCGTAATACAACTGCAGACAGTAGTAACACGTAATACAATGGAAAATTATCGGGAGAAAAGGAGAGAGGAGAAACGTATTTTCAGAAAGAAGAAGAAAGAACTAGATAAAAGTGGGTGTGAGCAAATCGATATGTACAGGAGTCAGAATGAAGTCCGGAAATTTTACCAACGAGTAAAGCACCAAACCGAACGCTTTGGCGCAGGCACATTCTACTGTAGAGATGAAGATGGAAACCTGGTGACAGATACAGACTGCGTGTTGAGGATATGGAAGGAGCATTTTGAAAAGCTTCTGGTATCAAATAGTGGTAGTGAAGAAGATACCTCAGAACCAATAAGAGATGACGAAATAGAGTGTATACCACCTAGCCAAGATGAGGTCAGAGTAGCAATTAATCGGCTGAAGAACAATAAAGAAGCATGTGCCGATGGATTACCAGCCGAACTATTCAAGACCGGTGGTCAGATGTTGGTCAGGAGCATGTACCAGCTCATGTGTACAATTTGGCTAGAGGAATGGATGTCCAATGATTGGAACCTCAGAATCCTGTGTCCCGGGCACAAAACAGGAGACAAGACGATATGTGCCAACTATAGAGGAATAAGTCTTCTTCCCATTGCATATAAAGTGCTATCCAGCGTGCTGTGTGAACGACTGAAGCCAATAATCAATGACATTATTGGACCATACCAATGCGGCTTCAGGCCTGGCAAATCCACCATTGACCAGAATTTTCACTCTGCGTCAGATCCTAGAAAAAAGCCACGAAAAACACATCGACACATTCCACTTATTCGTCGACTATAAAGCCGCATTCGACATCCGTTCAGAGGTGTTTAAAGCCATGCGTTTGGCATTCCTGCAAAATAATACGGCTATGCAGGATAATTTTAACTGGTACAATGTTAGCAGTTAAAGTAGGAAAGGACATCTCGGAGCCCTTCAATACCGAACGAGAATTCAGACAAGGTGACAGCATGTCGTGTGATCTGTTCAACATCCTGCTGGAAAAGGTCATACGAGATGCAAATGTGAACAGAAATGTCACTCTGCACACCAAACAGCATATGTTACTCGACGACGACATCGAAATAATGGGTCGAACATTGGAGCGGTAAACAAGCCACCAAGCTGATGGTATCAACGCGCACGACGTCCGGTAGACTTGGCCCAACTGTGGAACTTGAAAACTAGTGCTTCGATTTTATGGTGAATATCGCCGTCGAATGAACCATGAGCTATACCATATATTTTCGGACACCGACATAGTCAGAAGGATCGAGCTGCAGCAACTACGTTGGCTAGGACGTCTTGTGAGAATAGATGAAGATGCCCCAGCTCAAAAGGTATATAAAAGCGAGCCAAGTGATGGTTCATGCATAAGGGGAAGATCATGAATCCGATGGAAAGATCAAGTAGAAGACAACATCTCGGAAAATGGGTGTTCAAATTGAATGAGATGCGCACAAGACCGACGCGCCTGGAACTCTTTTTTTATGTTTTTTAAGTCAGCTAAGTAAGTAATAAAATTTTGGCCACCAGTGTATGTTCTGGAATGTCTAAACTAAAATCAAAGTTCACAGCAGAGGCGACTGTATTGACGAAAGAACAAGATAAGATCTGTTTTCTGTCCTGAAGACCAAAGGACTTACTTTGCTTATTATGCATTGTAGCATTGGTACTGGTACGGCAGGCAATTTTAATTGACAGTACATATTTGTTGAGACCGATCAAAGGCTTTCGATATCGACAACCTTCTCAAATTGTTCGAGCATAATGAATGTCTTGGGCGCCCTCAATCCTTTCTAAGTTCGTAATGTATGTAGATGGTACGATATTAGTGCATGGTCCAGTTCAATTGATATATGTGAAAGGATGAATAATTGTAAAATTTTCACCACTAAAACTATATACACCATCCGTACTTATTTTTTTTTTAACATTTTCAAATTTCGAAATATAAAAATATCTTTAAAACATTTCACTTGTCCACAAACCTTCAGATTTTTAAATAAATATTTTCAAAAAACCACAAAATTGTATTTCGTATTGTAATTCGTATTCGAAAACGCTTAAAAATAAAACAGCTTGCTTATATTTCATGAATTCACAACCGAACTTAACCTTGAATAGAAAACAAAACAACAAAAATAATAAATCTGCAGTTATGTCATCACCAACATCAGCATTTCCATCACAAATGAATCATCTCTTTATCAGTATACAATACGAATAAATTTCAAATGAAAGGTTTTGCCATTCGTCAATGCAATTTACATATCGATAAAGCTATCTCGTTATCATTTCACATCAATGAAGAAATTTTTTGAAAAATTCGTGTTTTTATATTTACTGTTGATCTTCGAAGTGTGCTTCGATTTAGATTGTAGTGTAGAATGCTGTGTATATAAATAGAAAAACTCATATTTGTATTGATACACAATTAATTTGTCTAACGGGAATTCAACTTTCGGAAGGTGGATAGTTCAAATTCTGAAGAATTACTTATTTTTTAAGATAGACATTTGATATTTTACTAAGATATATTTGATATACTGGGATGTTTAACATTTAAGTCGCTATAGGCTTCGACATATATCCTCTTTATAACAATACGTAGCGATTTTAACAAATTGATATATAAAATAAATTGATGCATTACCAATTGATACACATTCGATGGATTGGTTGAGTGTGGCCAACTGTTTGTTGATGTTACAAAGTGTTTCGGCAAGTTATACGTGAATAATCCGATAGTATACGAGCAGTACGAAATTATGAATAAGTAAATAGACTTTTCACTAATCGATTTATCGACTTTTTGTATTAAAAAGTCTAAAAGTCGGAGTCGACTTTTGATCTTTAAAGAAATCGCAAAGTAAAAAATACTTGGTCAATTATCTCAAAGCCCAAATTGCTAAAAAATTACACATTCTAGAAATTTATTTTATCTGTTGATAACAATTAATTAAAAAAAAAAATAATTTTTTAGTCAAAAACCGAAAGATCGAAATGTCGACTTTTGGTCAGCGGCAAATATCCAAAAGTCGACTTTTGCGCTTGATTACGTATCCTTATACGAAATTATAGCAATTTATGCCTGTTTCGATGATATCTGCACCTGCATCTGATATTTTTGAGATAATCTTGATCGTCATTGACGATGTTCAACAGTCCCGGAGCGTTGTTGTTTCTGCTAAAAATTTAACAGTTTTGAAGCAGTTCCATGCTTCAGATATCTGTAAAAATCTTGATCAGATTTTTATGCCCTTTACCACACTGTGGTACAGGGTATTATGTCTTTGTGCATATGTTTGTAACATACAAAAGGAAACGAGTTAGACACATGGTTCCTTTTGAGAATATGCATAGAATCACTTTCAAAGTCGATTTATGTATGTCGGTCCGTCCGTCTGTCCATGTTAAATTGTAACAAAGTACAGGTCGCATTTATGATCCGAATTGGATGAAATTTGGCACAGGACAAGGACGAACTCTATTGAAATTGGAAAAAATCGGTTCAGATTTAGATACACTTCACATATATAATTTCGTCCGATATATTGTAAATGGTGTACTAAAGTCCCAATATATCTTTCGATTTGCACCAAAATTTGGCATAGCGTACTGAATTAAGCCTAGAATGATGTGTGTAAAGTTTCGTGAAAATCGGTTCAGACTTAGATATAGCTCCCATATGTCTTTTCTTCCGATTTTATCTATATTGTGCACTAAAGACCCAAAGTTTGTCCGATTGGCACACAATTTTATACAATGTACTGAATTTAATATAAATTAATCTCTGGTAGGTTTCGTTAAAGTCGGTTCAGATTTATATATAGCTCCCATATAAATTTTGCACAACGTATGGAATTGAGACTAGAATGACGTTATTGCGTTTTGTTGAAATTGGTGCAGATGCAGACACAGCTTTCCTATATATTTCAAACGGGTGTCTGATTGAGATTAAATTTTGAATAGTTCGGACTACCGAATATTGTGTATCGAGTTTGCTCTAAATCGATTCACATAAATTCGACCTATTATATGCAAATGACTCTAAACATGCCCAAATGAAATTAAATTTAGCATAGGTTCCAGAAAGACATAAATATCACATATTTGAGGTGGTGGTGAAGGCTATCATATAGTTGCCCCAGTCCGACTTTACTATTTTCCTTACTACTTTAGCTATCATCTTTTTTGGCAACACTACTTTAAAAATTAAATTCTACACGAATGCCCGCTAAAGTCGTACATCGATTCGAATAATAATTTAATATTTTTTTCTGAATTTAATTTTCTTTTAAACTATCCCATAGCCTTTACATCTATTTAAGGTGTCTCTTAAGTGCGCCATGGAATTATGTTGTATAAGTTCAAATTGAGTCTGAGGCTGCTAGAAAGTGTTTACATATAGTGTCCCTGAAAGAAAACTCTTCAGATATAAGATTTGGAACCATTTTTGTTGACTTATTTCCATTGATATATTATTTATCCTTCATTTCAGATGCCTGGTCTCGTTGTTTTTCGAAGGCGTTGGTCAGTTGGCTCTGATGATCTGGTGGTGCCTGGTGCATTCCTCCTAACTATACATCTTATTTGGTAAGTTACGCATACAAATTATTCTCTTGACTATAATAATTGACACTCACTCTCTTTTCCAGTTTAATTACCGTTATTGCGTCCCTCTGCACTTTTGAATATGACACCAACATTTTTGACGTTAAGTTACTTTTTTATCATCAAATAGGCTATGCAATTATATTAGGTGGTAAGTAGTTGACTCATTTTTTCTTTGTACATTTCAATGTACATTCATGTTAATTCAAGGCTACGAACTATTATTAATTTGTGTGTATGTCAATACATAATGTTCTTAAGCTATTAATTTATAGAGATGAAATATGTTTATATGGGAAATAAGTCATGGTATTATTAAGAGATAATCCACATTTCAATGTCCTGTAGAATGATAGTTATCCAATTTCTGAGAAATTGTTCCACAACAAAGACGCCTCAAATAATTCAATAGTGAAGGTATTTTTTCATCTGAACTCTTCGATACATAATTGCATTTAAAATAATTATTTCCTTTTCTTATTGAATCATATGATTTGACATTCTAAATTTTATGGTCAAGTGTTGTTTGTATGGTCAAAGTCCTTCTATTCATTTATTTTTATTGGCAATCAATCACTCCGCTAATACATCAAATTTTGTTCTGTATTATTGCTAACATAATTACTTTGTATCTAATAGAATTGTTATTTTATTTCTTAATTTTCATTTGTACGAAGAAGAAATGACTAGTCAAAACAATGTGAACCAAACATAAATAGATTAGGAAGCATATTTGCAAACAAACAAATCAACGAAAAACGCACTTCTTTAACGCTGTGCTTTCGTCGTCGTATAGAGTAGTGATAACACAGGCCGTATCATAAATCAACTTAATTTTTTATTTATTTTTAGCACTTCAAGTGAGAATATTTTGATTTTTTGTTTTCTATTTGCTTTTTGGCCAAACAAATTGTTGTTCCTTTACTTCCATTTGGAATACCAAAGAAATAAACAGAATACTTTCAAGTGAGATTTCATTTTTATGATAAAAGAATAAACATTTAATGGCATTTCTAGCAGTTTCGGTCTATTTCATTTTGTAAAATTTAATGTTTCGTATCGGACAGATAGTTATTTAGATATTAAAATAAAAAAAGAACAAAACATTATTCATATAAGTTAATTACAATGGTTTTGTTGTAACACAATCTGGTTACCGGTATTCGATTTTACAAACGTACGAAAACATGTTGATGTTTTCAAAATTTTTATTGAGAAATCCATAAAAACGTAATTTTGTTTGTGTCGCTGGCTCTTCTTAGTACGCTTAAGATGGCCTTCATGCTGTTATCATCGGCTAGTAGTCTACGTATTATAATTATAATGATCTTCATCTTGAATTCAAATTCCATATTTAAAATAAGTGATTCATTTATTTTTTTATTTTGAAGGTTTACAGACGGCAAAAAATTGGGATTTAAACAAAATAGGTCATTTGTTAAGAGTTTCAAATAAGTTATGAATTTCTTTGAAAGAGCACAGTGTTTTAAAACCATAATTTATAATAATGTGTATTTTAATTCTCTGTATTTAATTTCTCTGCACTAAAGACTCTACGTTTGTTAGATTTATTTGCATTGACTTCCGAAAAATGACTAGAATAACGTCAGATTTAAATATAGATTCTATGATTTTAAGCTACGACACAATCCATCGCAATCCTAATCGAAAAGTCTTGTGTTAGTTTCGTTATCATTGTTTTTTATTTCTGCTAAGTAGTTGTTGTAACAGCCCTATTGCTTCTACGCAATGATCTGAGGTGACAGAAGTTGGCAGAGAAAGACTGGGGTCGTTTCGGATCGTAGACACCTCTGTCGTGGAAACGCAGCTAAATAATCGATTGATCCGCTGTAGTTTGTCCTAGGTTAATCGTAGCTTAGAAAGAACGTTTGTACAGTTGCTGGGGTGCTTATTTTGTGTTGCAATTTTCCTATGGTTGTCGCTAGCACTTTGCTTATTAGAATTTCTGCATTTTCGAACACCACTTTGAAAGAAATTTTCCTCCTCCGTTGGAATTCGGTTTGTAGTTTAGCACACTATAATCTACACTTCGAAAGACATAACGTCTGTCTAATTGAGATGAACATTTGTACAGGCCACCGACTTGAGATTTACAATCTCAGTTAAGATTTATGTATATGTCACACATCGGCTCAAGCCAGTATCTTATTGACGAAGAATTGATGGGCCATCCGACGTACAGAAATTTCAGTTTTCAATTAAATTTTGATACATACGATTGAACAATGTTCACGAATCTTTCAACTTATTTACCAAGATTCACAACTTTCAGCGTCATCACTGAAGAAAAACTCACTTTTTGGACCGGCCGGGATAAAGTTTATGTGGCCAATGCCGATTCGATTCTGATCTTAGAACGAGGCATAGCCTTGACGAATGGATCGAGGCATAGCAATAATAATCTTTAAATAAAATTAATGTCAAGATCGTTCAACAATGTCCAATTCAATTCGTATTCTCTGTTTTTGAGCCTCGAAATCGGATCACGCATTATGTACCCAATCTTGTGGTCGGCCAATCAATTTTTTACGTCAAATAAATCTTGCCGACTATATCAAAATATTTAGTTCAATATAAGGAGCAATTGTATTTTAAAATTAAAACAGATAAAAATTGAAAACATTTGTTGTAAATTAAAAAAAAAATCAATCTGCCAGATTTTTGAATTGGTACATGCATGTAGTCGTCGTTGTCATATGCTGTAATAAAATGAGCTATTACTTGTATGTACATTTGTGTGTGTGCGTGAAAATGTTCCATTTCATTGATTTATTTTTCTTATTTCATTTATTCTTTTTCTTCTTCATTGCAGCCTCACTGGCCATAGAAATTGGAATATGTATTATATCGATGAGAGGTAGTATATTGGATTCAGAGGCCCGAGCGCCAATAAATTTGTGGATATATTTAAAGACTGGTGAGTCAGAGTAAAATATAAGTGAATAAACACACACAAAATCCTCTACATATGTTCGAACATACATAAATAAACATTAGCATGTAGGTAGTAGGCAGTGCACAGCAGATGACAATTTTCCCACACCTCGTTGCTGACCAACATCACGAAAGAAGAAATTAATTACAATTTAATTTCGTTAATCGCTACCGATTGATTTAGTAATACATGCTAGCGAAATGGACATCAAAAACAGGAATAGAATTAATATTCCAGTAGTATTCCAGTACACACATATGTTTAAAAAATAAAATATATTTTTTTATTACCACCCCTTCACCACACAGTGATTATTTTCAATAATAATTCTCTTATTTTTCTAGCGGTAATGCTATTTGATATCTCTTGGTTAATCCTGGGATCAATATGGCTGTCCAAGTATTATTTGGATTCTCCAGTTAATACACCAAAACAAATATTCTTTGGTAAGACAATAAAAATATTTAAATTTTTTAATTAAATAATAACATGCTAAACGTGTCCTTTATTTTCCAGCAATTGTGATCTCAAGCTGGGCTTTAGTTTTTATAACTGGAATAACTGTTTGGTGTACCTTCGATACAGCCGGAAGATCTTGGGTGAAAATGAAGAAATATCAACGATCGATGCGCGAAACCGAATCTCGTTTTAATTATAAGCGCAGTAATAGCATGAATCGTAATTGGCGCCAAAGGTAAGCCCTTCAGTCAAAAAGTAAAAATAAATCTCTGTAAAAATCGTTCCCTATAAGATTTTATTTTATTACAACATTTTTGTCTTTTGTTGCAGAAAAGTGATACGGGCATATCAAGACAGTTGGGACCAACGTTGCCGCCTACTTTTCTGTTGTATGGGTTCCTCAGAACAAACTCGCAACTCGTTTACCGATATAGCTAGGCTGTTAAGTGATTTTTTCAGGGAATTGGATGTTGTGCCATCGGATGTTGTGGCCGGTTTAGTATTATTGCGCAAATTTCAACGTCTCGAACGGGAGGCCATTGTGCGACAGGTGAGATAAACATCTCTTCATGCAGTTATCAAATTTTCCAATAACGTTTCGTTTACTTTTTGGCATTTTCTTCAGAGAAAGAATGGAACGTATGAGTTTCTAAGTGGTGTACCCATAACCGAACGGACACAATTTCTTGCCTTGAATGATGCCAAAAATTATGACTTCTTTCAAACGGTCATACATTATATGTATTTTGCTCAAGGTGCCTATGGCTGGCCCATGTATTTTATTATTAATCGTTCAAAAGTCTGTCAACTGGTGCCGGAACTGAAGTAAGCCCAAATCACATATGACCATTTTAAATAAAATATTTATGGACTGCTACAATGTATTTCAGATGCTTTGGCTGTTGTACTGGCGGTGCAGCGACGACCGAGGCTGAGGTTATTCAGGACAATTGCTGTTATTGTAACTATGCTGCCCTCAAAAAGACTCTACAAGTTGGAGATATTGAAATTGTTTATGTCACATATCACGTGGATGTGGGTGAGACGCCATTTTTTGTGGCCATCGATTACACCCAAAAGAAAATTGTCATTAGCATACGTGGTACACTGAGTATGAAAGATATTCTGACCGATTTAAATGCTGAAGCTGAAGTGTTGCCACTAAATCCACCACGTGATGATTGGTTGGGTCACAAGGGTATGGTGCAAGCAGCGGTCTATATTAAAAATAAACTTCAGGAAGAGAACATCATTGAAAAAGCATTGAATAAGAATCCCGAAAGGAATACGAATAGTTTTGGTTTGGTGATTGTTGGGCATTCTTTGGGTGCTGGAGCTGCCTCAATATTGGCAATACTTTTGAAACCAGATTATCCATCGGTGCAGTGTTTTGGTTATGCTCCACCTGGTGGTCTTTTAAGGTAGGTTTTTTTTTTAAGAAACGTTTGACGAATAATTATCATTTCTTCAATTGACAACATTTTAGTATGCCCGCCGTTGAATACTCCAAATCATTTATAACATCTGTGGTATTGGGTAAAGATGTTGTACCCCGCATCGGTCTATACCAAATGGAAGCCCTAAGGGCTGATCTCATAAATGCTATACAACGTAGCATAGATCCCAAGGTATGTCCAACCACGTTTCTTCAAAATTCAAATTAACTTACATTTAAAAACATGTTACAGTGGAAAACAATATCATGTTCAATCATTTGTTGTGGATGTGGGCCAGAACCAAAATCCGTATTGGAAATGTCTGGCAAAGATACCCATATAAATAAATATCAGGAGGAACGTGGCACAGCTCGTTCAACGAGTACCCATCCCACAGACAGTTCAATAGCTTTAACATTACATCAACCCTTATATCCGCCAGGACGTATTATACATGTGGTTCGGCATCATCCCAAGGCAGATGAGTAAGTACAGCCAAGTCCATTGTTATCTTTTGATTTTGATGATCTGTTTTTTGTAATTGAATTGTAAAATTTTAAATAATAATTTAATGCTTTTTATTGCTATTTATTTGCTTATTTCTATGCCAATTCCAATAAATATGCAAATAATTTAATTACAGGAAAAAATATGACAGAGGTTGGAGGTAGGAAAGACGGTTTCATATAGAACAAACAAATCTAAATATATATTCTCTCTTTTTTGTGAATATAAAGGATATCAGAGTAGTGGTTTTTGTTGCATGCCTTAATTTCTAACAAATTAAATAATAACTGTTTGTTTTTTTAATGCATGGTTAATGTTTTATGTTTATATACAAAAAATTGTGAATCCTAATAATGTTTTCATAAAGTTCTGAACTACTTGGGAATTGTTTATAAATCCTCTTTTTTTGTTTAATTAAAAAGGTCAGCAGAAATTCCTAAGCAACAATGAATTTGTGAAAACATTTACGTTGTTTTGTATTGTTTTTCCGCTGTTGTTATAGGATTGCATGCAGGTGAAAATTAATTTAAATTTTGGAATTTAATTTTGCAAAAAAGGTTGTCATTTCATTAATCATTCTCCTAAATATTCCAATTGAAGACCCTTGGTGGTAATTGATTTTCGTATATTCGCTTAGTAATGTTTGTATATTATCCTCAATTTGAATATATATATATAGATTCCTCATTTTAACCATAAAAGTTGATATCCTTAAACTTGTTTATAGTATACAGTATATATCTTTTACCTTAAACTAAACATACATTTTTTGAATGCTATAAAAAATGGAATAAAACTTGGATTAGTTGTAATATAGTCATAACATAATCTTGGATTTGGATTTTCAAGTGAATTGTTTGTAATTTTATGTATGACGTTTATAGTGGGGAGAAGAATTACTCCCACTCATATATGTCATATTTAAATAGGATATATAGGGTTCCGAGATGACAGAAAAATTACTTTGCCCTTAAAGATACTGAGCGATTTTAGATATTTTTGAAGGTCATTGATTGCATCATTTTGCTCAGCACTTGGCTGTAATTACAGATGGAAAATAACTCTTTATTTATTTTTATAAACAATCCGCTTTTCAAATAAGATAAAATTCCATGGTCAAAGACAATGATAATCCGAATACGAGAAACGAGAAACAGAATACTAAACAACGATTGATGTTTCAATAATAACCCGGGGATGTTGAATCGTATCAAAAAATGCTATTGATATTATGTCCTCTTTGGATTCTGGGAACTATTACATCATCAATTCATCCATTGAGAGAGTACCATCTTTGAATCACCAAATCCACGCTGGGTCTTTTTCCAACAAAAGTTTTTTTTCTCCTCAAAAAATAAAAAAATATATCCCTACAAAGTATCTATATTCTACATTTCTCCTCTAAATTACAATAAACAATGTAATATGGCATCTTACAGAGGCGTTAATTTTATTCCTACTATGTTTTTTTTTTATAATATATGGGTCCATATGATGTATTAAATTTCATAATGTACAAATAATATCATAATCTTATCTGGTTTCCAATTAAAGTTCAGGGGTTAACGTTTTCAATGTCTTGTCAAAAAAATATATAGCATGCATTAAGATGTGGTGAACATAGTCAAATATCATTGTGAATAGAAACCTTGCAGTTGACGGGATTTTTGTTTGTACCATATAAAATGCGTTCCCTTATATATGCATTATAAAGTCAATGTGTTTAAAATGTTTTAAATGTTATATGTCTAGAAATTATACAAACAACAACGAAACTATTAATAATATCAAATTTGAATTTTGTTTACAGAAATGTTTTGAAGAGTCGAGAACCCGTTTATCAGGCAATCTGGGCTGATACAACCGATTTCGATGAAGTTCTAATATCACCTGTAATGCTGCAGGATCACATGCCGGATAAAATATTAGCTGCCCTTAAGAAGGTAATTGCCGAAGCATCATCTGATGATACATCGTCGGCCAGTAGTAATGCCAATTTGACAACCCGTCCACCCAATTCAGTAATTGCACAACATGTTTAATAAGACTATGCCTAAAAGTATGCAATGACATTGAGAACCTGAATACCTCTCTCGATCCCTCCCCCACACATACTGTACATTTTGTTTGTTTTGTAAAAAATCTCTTTCGTGTTAAATTATTTTGTTTTTGTGTATTTATAAAAAATATATTATTTTTAAGAGCTTAAAAGTTATTTTTATATTTTTGTACATTATTGTTTAGCTATTAAGGTCATCATCAAGACATAGAACAAGTTTAGTATGTATATGAAATTATTTTGTTTTTTTTTCACGAAAATAAATATTTATTTATTGTTTTTTGCAATTGTTGTTTTTCTTTTTTTGCTTCATTGTTAATTTGATTTTTTTTATTCACATTGCTTTTAATAAATTAACAAATTTGCTCCTATTGAATTTTTAGATAGGACCAAAGAAGGAAAATATGAACCATGCATGTAATATTTTTAATTTTTGGTGTTGAATCGTGCTACACATTATGATGGCTTATACGATACCGCTTTATTGTATTGAAAATACATATCCGCATTTTAATTTATACGCACATTCCCCATTTCAAATATGCGAGGAGTTATGACTTTAAAAACTTACTCGACAGAATGTTCACAAGGAAATAAAACTCCTTGTACATTTGATATTGAATATTACCCAATTAAGAAGTAGAAGCGGCACTACGTATTTCACAAATATATCGGTTCATTGGTAATACAGCAAAGACGGACTTTAAGATATGACTTCCATTAAATGATTAAATGGTTCCTCACGTTTTAGATTTTCTTTTTTTTTAAAAAATTTTAAGTATATATTCAAATCAACAAATTTGGTTTGACAATTTGGGGTTATCCTAGCTAAGACACAGTTTTTGCATAGTATTCTATCTAGAGAAGAGACCTGTTGAAGGCCATTTAATACATTGGTATGAGATGTTTTGAAGATATGAACATGTATGCTGGAAATCTGTAGAAGTGTTTTTTTATATGTGATGGATCTGTTATTAGTATTTCTATCACCAGCCTTTAATAAGCCTTATAGAAAACACATAGCATGAATTCGGTCCACAGAAAATGATTTCCTGGCTGGTGATCAGAACTCTTTACGAATCACACTTTTTAAATATACATTAATTTTATGTCTTTTTTGTTCCCAGGTGGTAACAACCAGTGGTCCACGAAAACCTCATCGACAAGCATCGAATGCCTTTTCAATGGCATCCAATGATCTGCAGCGTAGCAATCAGGATGTCTACAGTTGTTATAATATTTCGAACGCCGATATACACCAGCAACAGCATGCTGATGGTATGTCACAAACGTCACATCACACCGCCGATACACGTTCGAATACAACGACAAATCAAACGGAGGCCCAATTGCATGCAGCTGCCTTAACAACGGTACAACAACTTCAACTTCTGCAGCAGCAACAACAGCAGCAAAGAGTATGTTTAGAAACGTCATTTACAAATCTCCATAGTCCTGTGATGATTCATAAACATGCGCATTTTAGTGAAAGTGTAAGCTCCAGTAAAGCCTCGTCATTGGCTGGCAGTGTCCTAAGCCGTAGCCAGTTGAGCAGCATACAATGCGATATATCATCGGTGGCTGAGAATAGCATAGCCACGGTGGCAATGGCAACGGCACGCAGGAGTCCTATGGTGTCGATACACAATATTGAAGTCCATTCCCATCGGTTGGAACAACAGAATACCTCACGAACGAAACAGGTTGCATTCGAAGACGTATCACCGCCTCCATCTTCAGCCACGACCATAGCAACTGTCACAGGTAATTTACAACGCCATTCGTCCGAAAAGGGCCCAAATAGTGCCAGCAAACCAAAATCGTTGGTTATACCACCCCTGCGCAGAGCTTCAGTAAACGATACGGAAGATGCGAATAAACAACGAGCCGACAATTGGGGTGTTGCGCCCTTGGCCAGTCCCGAAACACTCTCAGAAATATCCAGTATATCGTCACGTAATAGTTTGGGTACAAGTCTTGATCGTCAGCTACACGAGGGTGTGACGAGTGGCGAGTCAACCAAGAACGGTTGTGATAATAACAACGGCGGTATGTCCATGTCCCCCGAGGAAGATATCTTCGAATCACAGTTACACACCCCCAAAGTCATGCGTAGAGCACCAAAATTTATTGAAAACTTATCGACTTGTGCCGAAGACAAGCGCAATTTGGACCAATACAAACGAATGGGTCGGGTATTTATAAGCCATCCGCTTTTCCACCATCAACCAAGCCAAAATTCCAGCGACGAAGACGACGATAGCTTTGAATCGGCAAACAGTTGTAAAAATAAACCTCAGCAAAATGGTTCTACGACTCGAGTTGAAGTTAAACTAAACTGCCAGAACATTTGGAAGTCCGAATCTAAACAAGAAACAGAATATCAACAAACAACGACTGATGTCTCAATAAAGCAGCTAACAGCCAGCGGCGATAGTATCCTCTATGATCAGGACGACGATGAATCGTGTCAGAAAAATACAATTAATATTATGTCCTCTTTGGATACTGGAGACTATTACAGCGCCAATTCATCCATCGAGAGAGTATCATCTTCGAATCACCATAACGATGATAATGATGATGGTGCCGATGAGAAAGTAGACCATACCGGGTCTGCCACAACAACAGAAAACTATCAGCAAAATCATACCCAACGAATAGCAACAATTATTCCTCCTGGTGTCTTAGAGTCACATTTTCCCCTACACTATGATGCATTTACATCCACAGCCACGGTGGCAACAACGGAACCATACACAACCCTCACCACAACCACAACGTATCCCATTAATGACAACGATGAAGATCAGCACCAACCGCAACCACAGCCACATACTGTAACAGTACAAAGCCCTAGCAAAATGTCGATATTATCAAGTCCATCATTGCTTGGACGTAAACGAAACAAATATTGTATATATCCCTCCGGACTCACGACGCCATCTTGTATTGTAGGTGGTGGTGGTGTTGGCGGCATTGTTAGTGGTGATCAGCAGCAGGTCAGCATTCGAAGATCATATAACAACGCCAATACCACCACAACTACAGGATCAAATTTACCTGAAATTCTAGTTACAAATGGTACGAGACAACCTAGTAAAATATTAAACGAAAGTACGGTATAATCTAACCTAAAATCGCAACTCATGAACTCTGTAGTATGTATATCTCTGTTAACACAAACAAAAGTCCTATGAATCGCGATCAGTAGTAGTTGTAATATAAGAATTGTTCACATGTAAAGTTTAATGGTCAGTCTTTGGGTTTTTTTTTATTAATTTTGAAGCTTCTTAGGTATGCCAATTTTACGAGAATGATTGATAGATGATAGGCGAAAGATTGGTGGTCAGAAATTTTGTGGTTTGGCCTTTAAACTCTAATTCAGAAATACTAAAAATACCAAATAGGTTATCATCGATTAATTGATTGATAAGAAGTCCCAAAAGTATCTAATCTAAATGAAATGAAATATTCGTCAGAGACCCCATAAATTATATATTTTTTTATCATTTTACCCATGTCGGTTGCAAATCTGTTAAAGTCAAGATGTAGTTCGGAATTTTTAGGATGTAGCTTTGCATTTGGCAATTACAGCAGTATTCTCTATGAATGTTTGATATTGAAATAATGTACATATATCAGCTCACGTTTTCGTATAGCTCCTGTATAATGGTACCGAAGGAATTGTAATTTGTGATTTCGGATACTTCGAATGGGACAACTTCTTTGCAGAATTTTTCAATATAAATCCATGTTTTTACGTAGCTCGCGTCCCATTTTAAATAGTTTGATGGTCCATGTTTTTAAACAAAGTGGCTGTAATATTGCATTTCGAGTTCTTAGTGGACGAAAAACTTCTTTACAAAAAATTTACAATAAAGGTCTACGTTCTGACATAACACCTACACTTGTTAGTTTTTGGGATATTTACCGACAAAGTGGCAATTAAAATTTTTTTCGCAGAAAAGACTCATTGTTCAGGTTTTGACACATCCTTATTTCTGCAATTTGTCATTTTGCACATCTAGTGACAAACAATTCTTTGAATGAAAAAAAAATGTGTCTAATAATATAAGGACACCGGACAGCTTTATTATTTTACTTAACAGATTTGAAGTCCATTTCAATCATTCATTAATTTGCCCATCACAAAAGTATGACTACAAGCATTGTCTTTGTTATTCTCCAGATTTGAGTAGAATAAATATCCAATATTAGTCTCATTAAATATCGGGCAATCTTGTAGTTATAGTGAAATATTTCGTTTGGGATACATACAATATTCTCGAGGAAAAAATCGTAATACCTACAGCATAAAGTACATAATATTCCAAATTTGAGAGATCGACATGCTTTAATCGACATTCTCACACATAAAAATTATGCAATGGTTCATTCTGCTTAAAATCTAAAATTCGAAAATGCGTATCTTTCATTCAGTGTGTGTAAGTAATAACGAATCCTTGAAAGCTTCATAACTGAACGAAGTAACAACTTTTTATTTGAAGCAATTTTTACCGACTTCAAGTAAACACAAGTCAGACTTAAAGACATTAGTAAGTCTGACTTAATCGAACTTCGTTTAACTCATTTGATATAAAATTTTATCTCTAATTTTCTGAAAACCGAATCAACCAACTTAACTGAACGCTAAACTTAACATCTGTACAATTTAAATATTGAATATAGGTTTATTCTCACTGTCCTATTCTAATCTTAAACTCTAGACCTAATGTAGTCTCTATAGCATAAACTAACTAGTTAAAACGTTTAGAACATTGTTTGTTATAAAATAAAACAAAATACTCTAGTAGTCAATAAATATTATACATATATTTTAACTATACACCAAACAACCAACCAACCGAACAACAACCTAAAAACAATTAAATGTATTAAGTTATTCATATATAATTACATATTTAGCTAGTTATAGTTGTAAGCATACTGTACATATACGTTTGACCATTATGTACAGTATGCATAGTTATAAAATACCTACCTATTACCTACCTTTAACTTAAAAAAAAAACAAACACTAACAAAACTATCAACTATGGTGGTGGATAGTCGGGATGAAGGTGTCACTTAATGCCTCAAATCATGATGACGGTGATATGTGACATCTTTAGATTGATGTTCCATGACCGTTAAACAACAACACTAAATATTAGAATACAAGTATCGTAAGTAGAAAATTTACAAAAAGAAAATAAGAACAACAACAATATTACTTAGGAAATGTAGAAGTAACGAATTTGTTGAACAAGTGATAATGCCATCCGTTTTTTAACATAATTGCGCGTAATAATAACACACACATACACTCATACATACTCATATTAAAAATAAATAAATGAATTCTCCCGTCCCGTGTCCATGTCCTTTTTACCCCAAAACAAAAGAAAGAAAATCCAAAAATAACAAGTTGAAATGATCTCGTAAAATATAACAGTCGTGGGCTTAATTCCTTAGAAATTAAGAAGAATTAAAATTTAAAATATTTTTTTATGAGAGAATTATGTAAATTTTAGAAAGATTTTTATTTAGATTTTCTCTTTAATTTGTCGAAGATTGAAAAACCCAATTAAATTGGGTTTCATTTTTATTTCCATGATCCTCAGAAAGCAATGTAGGTCTCTGTGTATCTTCTCCCTACAAAAATTCTATATTAATGCCAATAAAACAGAACCGCTTGTTTGCGTATTTCAACAGTCTCTTTACATCGATTTAGTATTTGCCAAAAAAGCAAGTAAAAAAAACACCACCCTCATAAAATTTTTCCACCCTCGGTACTCGAACAACCAGTTTTCATATGGATTAGGAAAATTTATTTTAAATATCCATGTTTTCATTGCTTATTTATAAAGGAACTTTGACGTCGGGTGACCCAGCATTCAGAGTTACTTTCTGGGTTTAATGCTACGTTTTCATTTCTTACAATTTGATATTCCCAATGTTACCTCCCAAGTTCAGTTTTACTAGACATCTGCAGATGTCAATAAACCATTGTCCACGATTGTTTTCAAAATAGTACGATACTGGAAGGAAAAGGCACACTTGAATACGAACATATCATCTTTATAAATTCAAAAATCTTGTTTTCATTGTGTGGTCAGTACAATGGGGGCCTGTGGGACTTTCGTCCTGAGTTTTGATGTGTATATTTATACAAAAAATATAATTTTAATTTACAAAGATGTTATGTACCTTTTTCATGTTTGCCGAAATTTTCAAACATTTAACATAAATTGATGACTGTGATGTGAATGGATCTCCTCATATACATATTTTAAAAAAGCCAATGTATATAAAATACATACATACAATAAAGAAACAACAACCAAAAAAGTCAATAAAAAAATCATTTTACTATTTTGATTTTTTTTGTTTCATATTTTTCAGTTTTTTATACAAAAAACATATGCATAATAAATGCGCAAACCAACTAAAAGAATAATAAATTAAGAAATTTACAGAAAAAAACAACAACAACCAAATTTTTTGTAATAATTTTCAGATAAATTCTATGAAAATTGGAATAAAAATAAATAAACAAAAATGATATTTATTTATTTTTTAAGGGGGTAAATTTTAATGGTTTGTATAAAGTTAACATAATTTTCAGGAATATATTTACAGAAGAAACTCTCATATTCAGATTTTGCTAGTGAAAATCGGTTTTTGATTTGTGTAGGATTTAGAAATCTGAATCTACCGACAACAATTTAATTTGTGTACTTTTGATGTTGCTAATTCGATGCAAACAATTTTCAACAAATAAATAAAAATATCAGATTTCAAGTCAGATTTACGTACGCATGAAAACCAATATACTTTTCTCGGAGTGCATTGCCACAGTACAGTAGTTTTTGAAATACTCCATATATGTGTGTAGTTAATGATAACTAAGCAATTATGTATTGAGCCTAGTATTTATTGGCTATTTGAAATTGCTGTATCACGCAAAATGGTTGCTTTAGTTAACAGTTGAAATACATTATATAATACATATTGCTGTTGAAGATTAAAAAATTAATCGTTTATGAAATTAAAATGGTTTAAGGGTTTGTGTTTGATTTTTTTCAAAAATATTGTTATGTGGTATTAATTTTGTTTGAGACTTTGTGCCCTTCAACATGTTCGAAAATAAAACGTTGTATGTGATGTAAAATGTATTATAAATCCAAGATGTGTACCAAAATCTAAAATGAACTTAAAAATAATATCCACATATACTTGCCATAAACCGAACTCTTGAGCATATTTTGCTTGTAATAAGACTTTCTTCTAGAACAGTATAAACAATTATGCTCTTGCGCTAAATCATTCAATTTGAAACAAATGATCTTCCATTCCCTATATATCCATAATACGAAGATATACCAAATATATATATATATATATATATATATATTATAATAGCAATCAGATACAATTTGTATTTTTGTGTATTTTATTACTGTACAATATCATTACAAATTTATTGCAAAAACTTTCTATACACACTTAATTCAAACTACAATGATGATTTCAAATAAATTATCTAGATTGACTATCCTTACTATTTGTCGTTCGTACCATCCTTTACGGTTTCCTTTCGTTGAGTCGGCGGTGCCCTTGATGAGAAAAATGGGGCATCCGTGGAATATCTAAGGAATGCCAATGACGTTACAACCATAATTACAAACAATAATATTTCATTTTGCGTCATTAGAGCACTATCCTTTTCATGTTTTTTGGTACGATGATATTTTTCCTTTGCCGTCTGGCGTCGCTGAAATGTATTGGCGTATTGTATTCGCGTCCATTCATCCAGATCGTAAATTGGCGAACGGCCTTCACTGTCACCGACGGTGGACTTTTTAAAACGCGATTTGTAGAATTTTGTTGATGGGTCATCCTCTTCTTCCGGTTCTGCGCCTTTCATAGTTTCATCGGGTCGTTCGGCGGTTGTATGTATAACACCTTGACAAATCAAGGGAATATATATTAGAACATTCAAATATGTTCAGGACGTGATAATGCCTACCTTTGTCGTATAGCCTGCGTAATTTGTAGTTGCCCAACACTTCATAGGCCTGTGTTATTTCTCTAAATTTTAATGCGGCAGTATCACTGCCTTGGTTCTTATCCGGATGATACAACATCGAGAGTCGATAGTAAGCTGCTTTAATTTCACTCTGCGTTGCTCTGCGTGATATTCCCAGGACATTGTAGTGATCTATATATCGGGGAGTTGTGGTACATATCTTAGCCTTATTAACTAGCCACAAATTTCGTAGCGCGAAGGAACACTGCCTTGAAGAGTTGGACAACATTGTCCATACAGTTTATTTTTGTTGTGTGTTGAGAGCTTCCCTGTTTTGTTTGTTATATCACTTTCATTGCCAAGTTCAAAACAAAAGCAGAATCAGTTGATGAGACAGACAAGCCAAATCAGCTGATGGCGAAATATAAACATTAGACAAATTGTGCATGCCTAGTAACAGAGTTGCCATGGCAATTACAAAAATGAGCGAATTTTTTTATTTATTTAAATGTCACTTTATAGCTTTGTCTGGTTACTTTTCCAGTAACATTTACTCAGTAAGTTCTATTTCAGATATCAAGCCGTGTTTAGTCTTGTCTGGATAATAGAGAGAAAACTAAACGCAGACAATCCCGAGGTATTTTGCTAAATACCACTATTTTTAATTAAAATGCTACTAATGTTGTTATAAAGTTATAAAATTCATAAAATAAAATAGGTTTCTTGATATGGGTCAAAATCTGGATAAATCATACTGGAAAAAATTTAACCAGTAACATTCAGTAAGTTCTCAGCATAGAACTGTCAAACTAGCTTTCTCTTTTCGCTCTCTTTTACCGGACTTTTGAGTAAACAGACAACATCTAGCAACATTTGGTAACAATAGTTACCAAATATCGAATAAACAAGTCGTTAAAACCCGCGGCGCCTAACTTAACCCGAAGCTTAAGTCAATATTGATTTTCTAGCTAATGAAAATCCAGAAAAAAATAATCCAGCCATTTTGTTTACAAGCCCAAAGGTATCCAATAAGAATCCCAAATTGCCGTTACAGGGGGGTTATAGCAAAATGTGGACCGATACCAAACATCCCAGGAGTACCAGCAATGCGTGTGCATAATTTTAAAGCTCTATAATAAATATTGCAAGCTCTATCATGATTACAACATACAAACTAAACCGTCAAAAACTGGGTTTTCTACACCGATTTTTTGAAAAACCACCTAAAAATCGATCTTGGGCCCATTGTAATCCCTCACCAATCCTAACTCAAATGGTGCGATATGTGGATGTATCTGTTGTGGATCAAAAGATATGGGCCTTATAGCCTAGACAGACGACAGCCTTAATTTGCATTAACAGCCTTAATTCAAATTAACTTGTACATTATCCTCATTTTTATGTGTTGTTAATGCACAAAATCAAACTGAATTTATACTGAATTAGGCAATTTCAATATGGCAATGCTGTCGAAAAATAATTGTTTCTTGTCAAATTTATTTATATTTATGAAAATAAAAATAAGAAATGAAGGCAAATTTCAACCATTTTTTTAAATTGGGAGCTGTTTTGCTAAGATTAACGTTGCTATTTCTCCTTTATGTCATGTATCTATTTCCTAAAGATGTAATCCCGAAAAATATCGAAACAAATGTAAAAAATGTTCATCCTACACACAGACAAACAATTGTTTTGAAGCAAAAAACTGTTTCGTAAATGCAGAAACTCTCGTCTGTAAGGGGTAAATATTAATTCAAATTAAAAATTTTTTAATGCAAATTAAGGCTGTCGTCTGTCTATGGTATTAGAACCATACAAAATCAAAAAACTCTTTCACGTAACCGGAATCTATTTTTTAAGAATAGTTTTTTTTTCTGGGATGGAAGGCCTTCGGCAGGAGATTAAAAGCTTTCTCCTATGGAAAAATACCAACACCGGCTACGCGACAGAATCGCCTTTTAAATAAAATAGTTTTTTGGTTGGCTTCGGCAAGGTATTTATTACTTTATTCTATGGATAGACACCAAAACCGGCTACGCGGCAGAACCTCGTGTTAAATGGAATAGTTGTTGTAGCAGCCCTATTCTTTTTACACAATGGGCTGAGGAGACAGACGTTGGCCGAGAACGACTCGGGTCGTTTCGGATGGTAGACCCTTCTGGAAACGAAATAGAATAGTTTTTATTTTATTAATAACATTTAATGGTAAAAAACTAACATTTTACCAAAATTATTATACCATCCTTAGAAATGGACAATACTTTGCTCTTGGAAGTTGGCAACGCCTGGGTTCAGCTGATAAACAGCTGTTTGTTACTATTACGAAAGTAAACATTTGTTGCATCTTCCGAACATCGAATAGGAAACAGGAGAGCTGGTGGGATAAAACTATGTTGACTATGAGACTACATAAATCCCTGGCTTTACTTTACGAGAATATATCTCAACATTCAAAACGATTTTATCACAAAACTTTAACAAATACATGCCAACATACTAACACAGAATATGCCTTTGATGAAGATGTTTTACTCTCGAAAGAAAATCAACAGAGATGTTTGGAAAAAATGAAAGCAGCAGCACCAATGGGTCTTCGTTTGAGGGGAAATCAAAGTGAAATGAAATTCGCTGCAGTGCTTATTGCAATCTGCACAGACGAAAATGGGTAGGTGGTTCAGCAACACACAACTTAACATATTGAAAAATTCATGCAAAGTTCAAAGGTTATATTTTCCGACTTAAATTTACAGACGAAATCCTTCCATACTCTATACACGAAGAGCTCGAACATTAAGAAGACATATGAGACAAATTTCATTTCCCGGCGGTATTCAAGATGAAAATGAGGACTTCATAACGTGTGCTCTCCGGGAAACCGAAGAAGAGATTGGACTTCCTCGGAGTCGAGTTGAGATCTGGGGCACTGGAAATTTAATAAAACCCCCACACACAGCTGCCATAATGCCAGTCATTGGCGCCGTTAAGAACTTCAGGGAGAGTGAATTGAACTTAAATGTCGATGAAGTAGAAGAAGCCTTTGCTGTGCCCATTAGTCGTCTGGCTCATCCACAAACACTGCATTATACGCAATTCCAGAGTGGTTATTCTGGACCTGTATTTATTGTTGATGTTGATAAGAAAATCTGGGGTATAACTGGTTTCCTAACAAATACCTTCCTTAATTGTTTTCTTCCACCAGAAATGAACTACTTGAAAAATCGGGTTAAATATATACGTCCCCTGAAAATCGACGCGGGTGACAAGAAGTAGAAAAAGTAGCTAGTCAAATTTCAATGGTACAAAAATAATCAATTGTATTCTGTTGTAATGTGTTCTGTAATATATAATTATTGTAATAGTTCAATTTTTGTAATTCATATACGCAAAATACAAAAAATACCTCAATGATAAAATAATAAATATTTTCTAGACGAATACTCAGTTATTAGTGAAACAATTCAATCTGAAATATATATATCCATATATATATATATAATAGAATATATAATAATAGGGCCTAAGGCTCTCTCCTATGGGTAGACGCAAACACATGTATCTACGTAATAGATGGTCTTCAATTAGAAGACATTAGTCCGGGTTTTGAGACTTTTAATTGCAATTCCAAAGCAGTGCGAGTGGAGCCTGTAGAATTAACGGAAACCTGTTTACGTCGGAATTATTTACATCAACTCAAACGATATATTTGTGGGCTATATTCAACGTCAGATCGATTCTCACTAATTTCACAAGAAGCCCGTTTTTGGAACCAATGACTACGACATATCATAGTCATGCAATCCCAATTTCCTGTGATACAATAAAGTATAAGTTATTTCAAAATATCTACAACTCCACACATTTTGCATCACATTTTTTAAAGACACATATCTTCTAGGAAAATAAACTTCAATTCATAATTAAAAAATCATCATTTTATTAGTATCAAATATAAGAAATACTTTATTTTTTGTTTGTTTGTTTTGAAATTGTATGTGTATATACAAAAAAAAAAAAAAAAAAAATTATATGCAATTATATTATTTTAAATAAATTTGTATGAATTAAAAAATATATATGTTTAATAAAAAAATACACTTTTTGTTAGTACAAATGCGGATAGAATGGTCACTATTACATTTTGTTTAGATACTGTCAAAGAGTCATGTTTTAACTGCTGAAAATAAAAATACATCGGAAACCCATTCAAAAAGAAACTAAAACAATTGTCAATAAAAATCAGTTTATCCATTATGTGGAAGATGATTCAGTGAGCTAAGGAGGAACATTATTAAGATGATATAATAAGAAAAAAAAAACACATTTCAACTTAATACATATTAACAAAAAATATTGAAAAACAAAATCAAGGTCTCTATCATTCAAAAAAATATACGTAGATGTGATACATCGTTATGGACGACGACATACACCCGCGCTCAAAATCAAAGATACCAATAAAATTATATACGATAATCTTGTCTTGTCAGTTTTTGCACTATTCAAAAAGTGGGTGGGGATGGAGGATTTTTTTTTTTAAATTAAACAAAATTTAATTAAATAAAGCAAGAGAAGAAGAAAAAAACAAATAATTAATTAAGAATTGTAAAAATACTCGTAGTAGTGTAGCGTAGTACTGTAAGTATACACTGATTGGCTTGAATTAAAGAGACAAATGTTAACTACACGAATAAACGTATTCTCTCTCTCTCTATCTATCTTCCTCTTATTCGGAAATATCGATTGGAATGGATGTGGTGAATGTGGGTGTTTCCAACTCTTCGTGTTTCTTCATTTTCAACATTTGTTGCAATTTGTAGTGATTGATGATATCCTGATCGGCCGGACATGATTGGGTGAAGGCATCCAATTGATACATATGATACATGTATCGCCACAGAGCGGTGTAGTGAGTCTGCAAGAAAAGAAGCAAACACAAAGTAAGATTATTAAAAGATTCTCAATGATGCTATTACAATTCCTACTAAATAAAACAAATTGAATAATGTTTTTGAAAAGACTGACTTCCCAATTTTAGGTTTACAGTAGGAATTGTCAATTTTAGTAGATTTTACTGTTTTTTTTTTTTAATTTTTTCTTCTACGGTATTTATGGCTTGTTTCATAAATACCGTTATATATCTCAAATATGACTTGTTTCATAAATACACACACAAAACACATAAGCTTTTTGAATAGAAAGGTATTTAAAAATGTTCCAAATGAATCAAGGGCTAATAAAACACTTCCCTTCAGGTTTATGTTAATTTCGTGACCTGCACTGTATATGTTTCTCGAGTTATACTTTATTCCTCCCATCTATTCCACCAATACTTACGGGTATTTCAAAATCGACGAAATATTTTCCAGCCACTCGAATGTGTTGCAGACGTGGCATTAATTCACAATCGAAACAGCACATGGTGTCACCAGTTAGGAAACGTGTATTACGATTGGCCAGATGATCGTTGATTTTCTTCAAATGTGATAATAAGGCATTGTTTTTAGCTTCATCCTTCTTTACCAACATCAACTTTAGTTTAACGTATAGATTTTCAATTAATGTGGCAACTTCCTTGTCCTGAAAATTCGAAAAACAAATGTTTAGTTTTGAATTTCAAGTTAATAATGTTGATATTCGATTTTAATTTACCTGTACAAAAAGATTATATCCACCAGGGATACTTTTCATGATGTGCCGTTCGATTTTGTCATTTTCCAAAATGGCCAAACCGTTGTCAATTAGAATTGGCGGATGAGTTGCCTCGAAATTCGTGCGAAAATCTGGTGGTGGTTTTTGCATATCAACTGTGGTCACTTTTAGGCTGATTGTCTTCAATTCGGCCAAAAGATACAAGTCCATAAAGTATTCTTGACAGAATAGACATGCTCCCTTGCGACGGCCATCGATTGTGGAAGCCTGAAAATAATTGAGAAAATATTAGAAAATGAACAATAGAAATTCAACAAAATTATTTAGAATATGATAGACATTTCAATGGAGAGTTTTTCAATGATGACTCTCGTCCTGTTGAGTCTAACTGTTTAGTATTGTTTTTGTATACCTTCAAGGAACAGAGAGTTAATCTATGGATTTCTCATATTTTAAAATAACCGCTATAAATTAGTCTGAATAAAGAAATACAGGTGGGATAATTTAGAAGTCTTTAAATGGACAAAAACCTTTCGAATTTAATCTATTGGGAATTTGTTTAATTTAAAAGCTTTCCTTAACCTGTTGTCATTTAAAATCAGATTTCCTAATAATGAAGTACTTCTGATTTCGTATTTTCGATGGTTTCGATTAAATATGTCACAGTCTTGGCAAGACTATTGTTTCGATTGATTGATGCATACATGGTTGTTGCATACAAAGACTGACCGAATATGAATTCGATTGACATGGATTCCCATCGTATCATCAAATCATTGGTAACTTCATTTCACATAGCGTTTCATAAAGCATTATAACGGTTTTCTTAGATTTTATAAAGTCTTTGGTGTATTTAGACTGGAATACACAGAAATTCCTGTCTATCTGAGATTGATAGTCTCAAATTCCAACTCAGAGTCATGAGCATATTTTGTTAACCCTTTTGAAGGTATGTAGTTCGAGTTCAAGCTATATTGAGAGGTAATATCATTATACCCCACTCCAAGTGGTGGGCTTTTGCAATGTAATGACTCAAAGTCTTTAAGTGGTATTTACAAGAAACGAACAACAATAATAACATTTTAAATTATTATTCAACTTTATATTAAAAAAGCAAAACAATTTTTGTGCGACCCATACAATTTTGGATCTTTAATATGACCCTATATTCGATATCTTCTCTCTCAATGCCAATTCAAAATGTGTGTGTGTTTTTTAATTACGAAAAAACAAAACGCAAATAGGAAATAATAAAAAGGTATTGTTGTACACAATATTTAACATTGCATAATTAAACAATTTTCAAATGCACATTGTTCTATTTATAAATATGATGGATTGATGGTTGGTTGGATGGATGTGTGTGTGGGGCGATCAGTCAGTTTGTAGACATAACTAACCAAGGTAGTGGAGGTAAGTGCTTAGGTAAAGGCAACAATTATTCATTTTCATAACATATGGCTTCGATATTCTATTAAATAAACTCCGGATAGCGGTGATGTGAAGTTTCACAGTATAAATATAATTGTATTTTATATAGCTTAATGTAAACAAATAATCATCTTTCTTTTTTTCTCCTTCCCATTGAATTTCTCAGCAAAAAGTGGCACATTCTTGATGACATCATCAGCGTCGTGTATAAACATAATAACTTGTTGAGTTCAATGCAGAAATTCAAGTGCTAAAAAATATTGAAGAAGTTGTTAAATATGTATTGGTGGTGGGTAATCATCTGTGAGTGTGTGTATGTGTAGTGGCACTCCAAAGTTGTTTTTTATACGCTGATAAAGAAATGCCATAAAACTTTTCCTTTCCAAGCTTTTATTGTTTGTTTTTGTTCCATATCCAAATTTCAAATCATCTTATAACTTAATTTTTTAAGACCATTTTTATAAGCGTTATTGATGGTCACGTGAGTTTAACCATGTTATGGTTCATCTCATTTCCGTATTGATTGTTTTGTGGAGTTTGCCATTTTTTCTATTCTTACTGTGGTGTGTTGTTGTTGCTTGTTTTGTGTATTAATGAATCAAATATTTACTGAGTTCGTTTACTTAGCACATCATGCCCCGTACGATGTTGTTATAGCCCCCCTCAGTCACAGTCGATAGTCATCACTCACTGACTCGTTCACATCACATTTCAATGATGTCATATGACATTAGCAAAAGGGTTACAATCCATCTAAAAAATGTTTGCATGCGTCGTTTGTCTACCAACTGACCGGCCATCATATCAACACACTTTGCCATAGACGACAGAATTGAATTGCTTTAAAGTTCTATCTTGAAAATATGAATGGATATCGAAAAAAATAAATTAATTAAATTACTATCAGTAATGTTGAAAACTTGAAAAAGTGTAGATATTTTACAGTACAGTGTGCGTTCCATATGTGAAAATAGGATTTCACTACATTTCTTTTAAATCGCTCATTTTCGAGTTATTGAGATATTCGATAGTAAGGAACTATACTGATTCAAGATGTTACAATTTATTGCAATTTTTGAAAGTTCTATCCTTGAGGTTTTGGATCGATTATAGGATTTTGGCGTATCTATTTTACGTAGCCTAATGAAATAATCACCAACATAAGAATTCGCAGGGTTTTAACGATGAGTTAGGCAAACCTACTGAACTAAGCTATACAAAATCTGCATGCCAAAAGTTGCCTCTCTGAAAAACTTATGGTAGATATGAGGACATTTTCATTTGTATCACAAGCAATTGCGACAATGTAAAAAAATTGTTCTGATGCACACTTACGGGAAGACAGCTAATATCTATACTAATAAAATACTAAAGTGATTGACTGACTGACTTAACGGTTCATAAACGCCCAGACGAAACGGCTGAAGCTAGAATCTTGAAATTTTGAGTGAAGGTCACTCTTGATCCAAAGGTAACAAATAAGGCTAGGTTTTTGGAAATCCGTACTAGAACGGTACAAAAAATACCGTTTTTTATTTGGCGAACCGGTAGAGCTAGAACTCTTAAATTTTAAATGATAATGGATGTAGAATAGATATAGCAAAAGTTTTCTTTGGACATTCGAACTATAAGTATGCGAAAAGTACTAAAATGTACTAAATTTGGTACAATTTCGTAGCATGTGAATGTATAGAGCTACAAACTTGAAATTTGGAATGCGAATTAGGATTGGGAAGTAGGGTCGATATAAGGAGATGGGTTTGAAAGCGTACGAAAAGTACTATATTTGGTACAAATTTAATGTAGAAGTACAAATCGAGCTGGAATCCTGAAAATCGAAATTACCATTACCGTCGGAGTGTAGGATTGGGATATGTACGAAGTTTTGGAAATTTTTTACATATGTGTACCAAAAGTACTAAATCGTACTATAATTGGTACAATTCGGATTTGGGTGAACCGATAAAGTTGGAACAATGAAATTTGGAGTCAGGATCACTGGTGGGGTGTAGGATTGGTGTCAGGATTCAGTTTAAGAAATTAATACTTATGGGTACTAAACCAATGGAGCTGTAATCCTGAAATTTTAAGTTAGAATCACTTTTGGGGTGTGAGATTAAGATTGTACTAAATTTGGTACAATTTAAATTCTAGGTTAAGCGATATAGTTAGAATCCTGAAACATGGATATAGGATATATAGTAGGATATAGTAGGATAACTACTGTGTACTAAATTTGGTACAATTTTAATTGTGGGTGAACCGAAAGAGTTGGAATCCTGAAACTTGGATTTAGGATCACTGTGAGGGTGTAGGTCAAAATATGTATTCTATGGATGTGGGAGCTTTACATAAATTAAGTAGGATGTTTTGAAACTTCGTACTACTGTGTATTAAATTTGGTACAACTTAAATAGTGGGTGGACTGATAGAGTTGGAATCCTGAAATTTGAATTTAGAATCATTGTATGCGGGAAGTTTTGTTGGATGGTTGAGGTGCATGCTTATGGAAATAATGTGTGCTAAATGGAACTACATTTTGTAAAATTTGGATTTAGGTGAACTTTTTGAGCTCGAATCATGAAAATTGATACTAAATAGTACTAAAATTTAATTTATTGTCAATATTAATGTGTGAATTGCTTAGTTGCTCCGACATATGCAGTTTTCTATGAAAATAAAATAATATTTTAAGACATTGTTGAAATATTTCCAACATTCGCTATCGAAGTACCGGGCATATGCTACTAAATAGCGGGCATATGCTAAACTATGTTACATATATTTCATTGGTATAATTTGTCTTCCTGCGGTTACGTCTGTCACTTCTATACACACCACTACACCAGATGTTCTTAAATATAAGCCTGTATTTGATCGCCAAAAAATGACCACAAAGAAATCAGAACTATCGGCACACTTATGAAGAAAGTATGACTTATTTTCAATAGATGTAAGTGATGATTATCCGACAACATGTAACAATGTATACAGTATTAAAGTATATTGGTCACATACCTTAAACCTTTTGACTTGGCTCTTAAATGTGTAAACCGATGAAATTATACTACCGATATAATTATTTCGCTAAAAAGGTGAAAAATATTATCAAAAAATGATGCACAATCTACATCTTCATATTATCTTAACTCCTGACAAACCAGTATACAACATCTACGTCACGCTGTAGCTGTTGTATTTGTTTATATCACATACTTATATTTATTTAATTTATGGACTCCTGTCTATTTTGGGAATTTACGTTCTACTTGCAAATCATCATTTTATGAATGAGGGGTAGAGTGACTCAGGTAAAATAAACAAATCAAATGAAAACAAAACATAAACATAACTATTAAAAACTAAGTAGATATTTGTTGTTGTGTATGTGATGTGCTGGTGTAGAAATTTGCAATGTTTATAATTGACGTTTTGCTAAATTTAATAAGAACTGCATTATGAGTACAAGTTTTTTGCTAATAAATTAAATAAAACTTATAGAAGAGTTGATTTTTATATGGGGTTTTTGAAAATAATTCAACAATAATTATTTTAGTGTAATTGAGAAGTCATAACATGGGAAATTATTAAAAAAATTATGAAGTCATAACTTGACTTAAAATAATAAGTCAAATTTTTTCATTGAAATTTGATACAGGTTCCGAAACAAAGATACAGCTCATCTCTTGGAGTTTTGAAGGTCCTATTTACATATTTCAAACGATTAGTGTCAGTAAGGTGTGGGTTAAATACAAATGTGTCATGAATATATTATATAGCAAATAATTTTCAATATGGGAGCATTTCTAGGAATTCAGAGTAAAGGGTTGTTAAAAAAAGATAAGCGAACTCATTACTAACTGGATCTAGAACTCGACATTTGTAAAATAAAGAAACTAGATATAATAAATACCAACTTTATCTCCACTCATAATTTACGTCATTCTATAACAATAGAAAATTGGATCACATAACTATTTTTCCGATCAAATTAATTTGAGTTCAAGAATATACATAATTGTTCATTGTTGTTCGTTTACTTCTGTCTGATAAGACAGGAAGACAGACAACAAACTCCAATAGATACATACTCGTCGTACATGCATATTTTGTATTCTTTTAATAGTTTTTTGCTATTTTGTTTGCTTTTCTTTTCTGGAGCAATCAACAGCAGCAACAACAACCTCAATATTCCCTAGAAATAAGAATGAGGTAAGAAATAATTTCATACATACGCATATGTTTGTAGTTGCTCTATCAAGATTATATTTACTGTACAATACTAGAGCAATATACAATAATAATAGTAAGTAAGGTGGTAGGTTGGTGGGTAGATAGATAGGTATGTATGGCTGGCAAAGGGTAGAGATAAGATAGTTTTATTTTTTTCGTCTTCGTCTAATGCTATACAAAAAACAATTTGTGAGTGTGACAGTGTTGAGTTGATGATTGCTATGTGCGTGTAGTGGTAACACGTTATGTTGGGTCGATATTTATTTTCACAATTCCAATGTTATTGCCCCGGCAAATTGTCGTTGCTATTCATTCGGCAAATATGAAATAATTAAAAACTGTTATTGATATGGACGTGCAAAAGTATGCAGAGTAGTATGACCAAAAATAGAGTTTATGCGGGAACCATATATGTTTATTTTATTGTATAATATGTGTTTGGTTTTTGGTGGGTCTTTTTGGCGCCCCAAGTATTTATTTTATAATTCATTGCAAGTGTTAAAAAATTTACTTTTAATTTGCTAAAATATAACTCCCATAAAGAAATGTCATTGTCAATCAGAAAATTCGGTCATTTGCTAATCGCCAGGTCTGGGATAACAGTGTATAAATATCTGGAAACAATAATCTTGGATAAAAAAACATTAAAAATGGTTTATCTTTTCGCTGCTTTAAAAAGGCATAAAAACCCCAAGATTGCATTGTTCAATATGAAATGTCACTGTTCCCCGAATGTTACAATAGTAGAATTACAATGACAACATGACCTATTCTCATACATATATTTTTTTCGCAAAATAATTGCAAATTTATTGATAAGACAAAAGTGCCTGATACAAAATGCTTTGAATAAGTGTGAGGAGATACTCTCGTAAACAGCCAGATGGTGTTATCATTTTTTAGAAAGATGGCTTATCACAACGGGAATTTTCTAGAAAAGTTAGTCACTGACCAAAGATAACTTGATGGCTAAAGTATCTTAAAACAGTCATTTATAGAAATCAATTAAGATGGAAGAATATACATATTTCCATAGGAAATACGTTTTTTTTTTTGAAATTCAAATATCTGCATTCTAATACAAAAGACTCTTGTAGAGTGACGATATATATACATATTAACTAATAGAACATCCTTAACCCATCCACCTACAGTTTCTAGTTGGGAATTTTGGCTATAAATTAAAATGTAGTGTATAATTGCAGTTATAGACTTTAAAAAGAACGAAATTCCTTTCGGATTATTAATTAGATGATGAGGTTGATCCATAAAGGTATTAAAACCTCTAGTATTATATCCTGCTTGTGGATTTATGATCTTGTCATATATTATATACATTCTGAGCATTGTGGATTTCCATTTTTAGCATTTGTTTCACAAATTTTCTGTTACGATTAATGGTCGGGTTCCTTGGCTACAATTAACGATGAAATTGGGGATCTAGTTTCTATATATAAAATGAGCAATATTCCAATACCCAGCATGTGGCTTACATTGAAACCAGCTGCATATTCGAATTATTAATTATATTCCGATATTTCATCAGAAGCAATGCAGACATACATTTTATAGGAAATTGATGTACGTACATCTTCTCATGGCAAGTGTAAGAAAAAGAATAATTACACAGATCCGAAAAAGTGTAGGAATTACACAAGTTCCAAAGGCAAATATTAGCCATATACCCTCTTGCAATCTTCGATATTTATACCAGAAGCAGAACGATAGTAGGTATATAGAATATTTCATAACACATGTAGTAACATATTCCAATAATAATTGTTTCCCACAAATCTGTACTTATCCTCCTCTTCAATAGTACATTATACACTGAGAAAATTATAAACAACATCGAAACTCAACTTGCAAACAATATTGATTGGCTCTTTTGTTTAATTGGCAATATTCACATTGAATGATGAACGATGAACGTCAATTTCAATTTAAGGTAAATTGTCTTTGCACAGCATAACTAGTTTATGCTGTGAACTTTCACTTTCTCCTCTCTAACTACAAATGGAAACATAACAACAACACCACCATCCACATCGAACATGAAAACAAAGAAGAGGAATGCAACACGAAAATCTTCATTTGTTGTAGCACAATAGTAATATCAATAGCAAACAAACAAACGAACGAATAGACAGACAAACAACAGGTATGTATGGCTTGACAAATATTGTGATCACGCTGTGTGATATAGAAAATATCAACACGAATAAGAATTTGGAGGGAGGGAGGAGGCGGGGGAGGTAGGTGAAGAGTTGGAGGCAAATAAAATAAAAATATGAAAACGTTTAGAAACATGGCCAACAGACGACGAATACTTGTTTATGGAAACATCAACAAAGACAACAACAGAAGTCAAGCGCTGACAGCAACTTCTAATGCAATTCCACTGCACTGGACCGCACCGCACCGCTCCTCTACACCACAGTAAACACACATTTATACACAAAATACTAGTGCTACATTGCGTTGTTTTTATTTGCTGGTTCTCTTTCTGCCAGATTGCATTCATGCTCGTAGCTGTCCTCGTTGGCGTTTTTTTGGTTTTGTTTTTTTCTCTCCAAATGCTTTGTAGGAATTCAGATTTGCATATCTAAATGGAAATCATGTGTTGTCACATACATGGACGGAATGAGAACATCAAACTGAAACGGAAATTTACATAGCCGTTTGTTTGACAAAAAATTTCGGGACTTTTAAACCAGAATATCAACAAAGCTCTTATGACGCATAACTCAAAACCGCATTCTGCAATGGGGCAAAAGACAATGGTGTTAAAGCGCTAGATATATCTATGTAGGTATGTTGTATACACACATAAAAGAAATATGAAAAACAATAAAAATAAGTAAAACAAACATTGGACTTCTCCCCTTCCTAAAGAAAATAACAGTGACGTTAAAATGGTCGCTGCTTGTTTTGTTCGTCGTTCGCCTGTCCATCGTTGTCGTCGTCGATAAAAAACAATTATCTTGGAATACTACACATAACGATGTTTGCTATCACTTTTAAAAAAGAAAGACGTGACAGTCAGGTGGCCGGAGGGTGTGCCAACCGACAGGCAGGCAAGCCGCAGCCGTTACTTCTGCTGCCACTACAGCCTATATCTCATCATCATCATCATCTAATAAGCAATGCTTGCCTGCCTGCCCCCCTTTGCCTTTTCGGCTAGCTAAGTAACCAAAGAGGGGGAGTACTAATGAAATATACGAAGCACACATTGGGGAGATACTACACACAGGAAACCTGTTTTCATTTCTCGCTATTTGCTTAAATTGTTAGATGTTCGGTCGCCAGCCAAAAACATCATCATTGCCATTCACAAAACATCATCATGATGATGATTATCCCAAAAAATCCACATATATATTGGAGTTTTCTGGTTCCATTAACATCTTTGATTGTCGCAATAGATGTCTCCGGCAGCTCATATCCACTAGAGTCTTCACCAAAAGTTGTACGTACCGATAATCCCCCACAAATACACACAAACACATTCAGACACAGCGAATTCTCTGGCAATTGCAAACGCACCATTAGCTGGTAAATTGTGTATAACAATTCTCGCCTTTAAAATGTTAACAACTTTTGCAAATTCAATATTTCTGTTTTTTTCGTTTGATATTCTGTATGTACGATAGCCGTCGTATCAGCAAAGAGCAGCAGCAACAATACATGTACAAACCTTAATAATCAATTCAATTTCTGGTACTTCGCTGGTGCCATTGGTTTCTTGGAGTTCTGCTTCCGACATGATTTCTTTTGCTTGCGTTTCTTTTTCTTCTATCAAGTTAATCCTTAATTCCCTTGTGGACTTTTTGGTTATTATTTTTTATTTTAATTTAAAAATGTCGTAATGGAATACAATGTTTGTAATTAAAAAAGTTTAGCTTTTTTCTGTTTCGACAATTTCGACCGACCGACGTACTACAGACACAGACGAGAAGCACAAAAACCAATTTCGTCGTTGACAGCGAATATAGGGATCTAAAGTGAGAAAACAGAATCGTCATTGGGATGTGTAAGTCGACTATCGATTTGTCAATTAATCGACTATTAAAAGTAAAAGCGGTGTACACAATACCACTTTTGAATGAAAAAGTAAAAAATGTTGAATTTATCCAAATGAATGGTTTCCGAATTCCATTCATAAATTGGAAAAGTTTTACCACTTTTAGCATACTAGAAAATTATTTCACACATAAGTTATGGGCTGGCAAATCCCGAAACAGCATTTACATTACAATATTTTTCGGAGTTAACCTCCTCTATTTATATGATATATACAGTGGTGGTCATGAAAATTTTAATTCAGAACATTTAATACTACACTTAAGAGATTTTGTGGGGTTTTACACTGTTGGTCATGGGCATTGGTCATGAGAGTTCTTTCTCTCTCTCATTGGTAAATTAGGAATAGAGTTGGAAAACATTGCCACAGGTAGGAACAAAAAAGTACGAAAAGGAACCTAAAATTTTACATCAAATGATAATAACTTATAATTTAAAATATTGTCCAATATTTATACAAGTTATTTGCATAAGTACGTAAGTATGCTTGTGGTTCCTTGTGGTTGTTGTATTTTCGATAACAAATAACGCGACGGATGACTCAACGCGAACCTTCTGCTTAGCCCTTAATGTTTTTTAATGGAATTGACCAATTAGATATATTGGATTTAATAAATCCCGCACAATTATATCCCAGACAAATAGCAGCCTTAATTTGGATTTCAAAATTCTTAAAGGGCTAAGCAGAATGCTCGCGTTGAGCCATCCGTCGGGTTATGTGTTGTCGATAATACCTCAACCACAAGGAATCGATAAGCGTTAGTGGTATCGTTTTGGGCTTAGTAGTAGCCCTCTAAAGGGCTAAGCAGAATGCTCGCGTTGAGCCATCCGTCGCGTTATATGTTATCGAAAATACAACAACCACAAGGAAACGATATGCGTTTGTGTTATCGTTTCCTTGTGGTTGTTGTATTTTCGATAACAAATAACGCGACGGATGCCTCAACGCGAACGTTATGCTTAGCCCCTTATGTTTTTTTAATGGAATTGACAAATTAGATATACTGGATTTAATAAATCCCGCACAATTATAGCCCAGACAAATAGCAGCCTTAATTTGGATTTCAAAATTCTTAAAGGGATAAGCAGAATGCTCGCGTTGAGCCATCCGTCGCGTTATGTCTTGTCGAAAGTACAACAACCACAAGGAATCGATAAAGGGCTAAGCAGAATGCTCGTGGTGAGCCATCCGTCGCGTTATATATTATCGAAAATACAACAACCACAAGGAAACGATATGCGTTTGTGTTATCGTTTCCTAGTGGTTGTTGTATTTTCGATAACATATAACGCAACGTATATATTAAAGGGCTAAACAGAATGTTCGCGTTGAGCGTTTTTTGTTATCACGTTAACGCACGCAAAAAGTTAAAATATATTTAACTCCGAAACGCAGCGCACAACAACTTCGAGCGTTTGTGTTATCGTTTCCTTGTGGTTTTTTGTATTTTCGATAACACATAACGCAACGGATGGCTCAACGCGAGCATTCTGCTTAGCCCTTAATGGTATCGTTTTGGGCTTAGTAGTAGCAATGTATGAGAATATTTTGTAATGAAATTTATTGAGAGGTGCTGCAAATGGAATGACAAATTGCAAAAAGGCGAACAATAATAGTTTAACATATGCGCCATCTGTTGGTTAATATAAAAACTAAATAATCTTATGATTTTTATTTAGGTATATATGGCAATGACGATAAACGGCATTGCCATTATTAACACATTATATTTATTTTCAAATAAACCGTATGTTTTCGAAAAGAAAATTCGTGTTAATTGCTACAAACTTTGTGTTTGTGTAAAGTTGTTCTAGTTGTTCTAATTTAAAACAAAAATTAATGTCATCTTTTCCAAAAGGAAAACATTTGGCCGAAATTCACTCGAATTCGTTCGTTTCGAATTCTACAGAAACAGTGTTATTATGTATTTAAAAGTTTGAATTGTTTTATATATCTTGGATGCATTTAAACAAATTTAAACAAGCAAATCCTTTTTTATCCTTTTTTAAAAATAATTTCTTATTTTCTCTTATGCTTATGCTTTTTTACCATTTGTTTGCATTATTTATTAACAAATTGAATGTGTAAGAAAACACAAACATAAAATATTAACCAAAACAAAAATGTTAGCGTCATCAGATAAAAATTCCAAACATTTAACCGGCTGAGAATTCAAATAAAAATGCAGATTTTATAACGTAATATTTACACATACAAAAGCACACACACTCACTCACGTCTAAACGTATACAAATCTCAATCGAGATCGACCAAACAAACATGCACTCTAACAAAACATTGAGGTGTAACATACATGTGTTTTATTTACCTAACATTTGTTTGTAAACAGATGAATGAATGTACACTGCAGCAGCAGAGAATGTAAAGGTGAAGAGAGCGCCATTGTCAGTCAACAACAAATATATCGAAAAGAAAGGGCACAGCGAAGAAAAGCCAGAAAAAGATGCTGTTGGTACAGTTCATATTATTTATGAGTGTGCATGAAAGCATGGTAGTTCTCTTAATGCAGTCACATGATTTTCGAAAAAAAAACCAAAGGGGAGAAAATAATGCAATGAAAAACAAATGCCTAGGTCTATGCATTTTGTGTTTTAGCAAAACAAAAAGAAAATTACGTACCCTGTGATCAAAAGAGAAAAATCCAAAAGAGATCGTATGCTTTCGTGTGTGGCGAACCAAGAAAAATTTAATTATTAATTAACAGAAGTGCTTAGAAACCAATAACTTTATGATCGATTATATAGCACAGTTTGATATTAAAATTAAATTAAATCCTGCCTGTTTTTAATAGAAGTCTTTTTATTTGAATGTGTTCTATCAAAATGCATTCACATAAATACAAGTGCGTCGCACAATGTTAAACTATACACGATTTCATTGATGATGAGGGGATATGCCATAAGGAATGGACCAATCGAATTAATATGTTCACTAAATATATGAGCTTCATATAAAATGTTAAAAATGTTGACTACAAAGGGGAGGTATCAGAAGGACTAAACAGATGGGCCCATCTTCGGATGTCATATATGTAGGTATGTTAATAATATTCCATTTGTAAAGTTTGCATCTCCGGATATGATCTAGTTTTCCCAATTAGAAATTTTCAATATCTTCAGCCATTGTGAGTAGATATTAGAGGATATACATATGTAGCAATAAGAAAAGGTTGAATAACATCAGATCAAATTAGATCCCGTCTTTAAACAAAACATAGGTCTGGTAAAAATATTTTTTCCAATGTTTGGATCTAATCCGGAGTATCTGATTTTATCCATGGTACAATAATACAAGGTGAATAAAAAAAAGCAACTATGCACGTGTTTGTGTTTATATGACATTTTTTCAACACGAAACTAAAAATACGAAAAATGAATGAAAGGTTATGATTTCTTCCCACAATCAATACCATAAAATGTTTGTTTCATCCATAGCAACGTAATTACTTCCAGAAGAACGTGTTAAAAACATAATTTTCATTTCAATTAATCTTGGATATATTCCAATTTATTTTGAATTAGTTTGACAGATTATTCAAAACAATACACACAAGGTGTATTTTGATTTGATGGAACAAGCCACCTTGAGAACAAATTGTAATCAGTTGGTAGATGTGCCCTACCTTGTTATAATTATACCATGATTTGATCCAAACATTGAAATCAAATTAATCCCATGATATTATATATAATTTGTTTGAACTAAATTATGAATATTTTTTGGACAATATGCCAGAAGGAGTGGAAAAAATTTTACGAAGTTGCTCCCTTCGAGAGATTCGAAACGAATTTTGTCCAAAGACACTTAAAGTTTAAAACCTACATTAAAACTATAATCATTTAAACTCTAACAGAGAGTCTGAGTCAAAACATGAACCATAGACGGTTATTATTCTCCATGTCAAAACATGGGCATATACTGAAAATTAGCTACGAACAATTTTTAACACCATTAAACCATTTATTATTAATAAATTAACATTACAATGTTTTATTCTTATTCTTATTTTTAATTATTATTCGCTGGCGTTGGATAGAGACTATGAAGTTAGAATCGTATTTTAAGAACATCACTGTTTTCCTTTGCTTGTCACAAAAAGATGTGGGTGAGAGTGATTGAAAAAGTCCCCACTGTTTTTAAATGACTTCAAATAAAAGTACATTTTATCAGCCAGCTACCAAATCATCATAGAAGAAAAAAAAACAACATTTTTTATGGATTAACACAAAATAAAACACACACATACACACCCCAAAGTAAATAAAGTCGTAAAGTTATTTTTAGGATGTTATTTATAAAAAAAGTGACAACGAAACAAAAACAACAAATAGCAAACATTGCTTGTGTGGTTGTTTGTTGTGCTTGAGTAATAGCCGACAAACACATAGCTTTGCCAATCCAAAAGATGTGACTAAGGTAAGTGAACAAATAAACGAAATTCAATAAACTATAAAATCAAGCAATAAACGAATAAATTCCTCAATCCTTTCCAAATTTAGAATTAATATTTATAGAAAAAAATAAATGAATGAGAAAATAGTATTTTCCCACAATCTGCGATAAGAAAATTGTTTAATTTTCCACAACAATAAAGAATTTATATCGTTGATGCCACAATGCTTATTACATACATGATTGCTGCGGCGTATGATTGCTAAGCGATTGCAGGCAACACTCATAC